ATGTATATTTATCCTGACCCAACAACGACCTTTTATATATCCATTCAGTTGTTTCAGAGATGGGTGGAATGCCCGAGAAATTATTACACACTCGAATGCGTTCGGCTTCGTGAGGTCAACGCACCACCGCTCTATGTAAACGAAAAAGTAGAATTATGACGTCAAAATAATTTAATGCGATATTGAAACACCTGCTTTAGATGAATCATGCGTCTTCATGAATTTTAAATATTTATTGCGTTTAGTACCAATAAATTTTGCCTATATAATTGTTAACGATATGCCTACACTTTCGCGTCGAAAAGCGCTCAATAGATACCGGTAGGCCTACCGTAATCGTTAAATGTGATTTTCTGTTAGGCCTAAGTATAAATTATAACAATTGTACAATTATTTTTAATTATTTACTGAATTCATACCAATATTTTACAGGTAAAATAACACATTTATTGCTAATCACAATAGAAATCTTAAGACATTTGTCCTGGTGGCTAAGTAGGCCTACGTTTAGTTTTTTAACGTGTAACCAAAAGAGCGGGACGCGACAAATATTGCTTGGAGCATTTGTTTAAATCCCCCACGCTGTTTTAACTTCTATTATAAATATTTCAATAAATATTAACACACGTAAATAAAAGTATCTAAGGCCTATGACTTAACTGTATAGTAATACAATAAACATTTATATAGGCCTATTGTACATGCTTCTCTGCTTATATGCCCGGTTTATAATAGCTTACAGTGGAACAGTAGGCCTACTCTTTTCAATTTCTTTTATCGCATGTAATACCACCTTTAGGAATTCACAGCTAGATTTAAGCTTTCCCCTCATGTGACCTCATGAAGTTAAAACGCACACGTAAATGTGTTTCTCATCTCATAAATATATACTTTACCTTTTATCTGTATTAAATTTACAGTATGTTCTGTAACCCATACCTTCAGTAGCGTCAGTCGTGCGCTGGGTGACTCCCATAAAACATAATATCAACCCTCGTCGCCACTAAGGCATAATATACGATAGTGAAAAACCACACATTTCTTTGCGCTGTCACCAAGAGAACACTGTCTACTACCTGGTTGGAATCTCTGGTGGGGGTCAGAAGGATCCCCTGACGCCACATAAACTGGGAAATTTATGACCATATTAAGGCATTTTGAGACGTTTAAAAATGTATTAATAATTAACAAAAAATGAAAATAACGTTCAATTTTTGGTCTGAAGAGTCGTAGCCGACGAGGAGGAAGAGGTGGCTTGTCTGTTCGACGGGAGATCAAAATACCCTTCCCCCAGCTGGCGACGTCACTTCATTGATAGGCCTATGCATCGTGCGTGGGTTTCTTTGAGTGTGGTATGGGTGAATTGAGGCTATTAATTTCACTTCACTATCATTTTCAGTTATTGTAGGCCTAATTAGTTTAAGACCCGGGTGTTTAAGGTATATAACACCATACAAGGTTCCATGAATTATTGTGGTCTAATTAAACAACGCCCTCGTTGTCGAAACCGACATCGCAACAACAGCTGGACTTAAAAAAACTTATTTAAAAAAAATAAAAAAAAAACGTTTAAAAAAGTTTGAATATTAGTGTGCATCAGCGCACAATGTTAACAGTCGCTTGTCCTAATATATGTAATATATCTATCGTGAGAATAAAACAGAATTGACGAAATGTTGGCCAATTGAGTTCAAACTAAAACGTGGATTAATTGCTACCCCACACGACAAACACGTTGATCTTAATGTTTGACGGTTTTGATATACAGTGACTTTCGTATAGATTTTCTATATCGCTGTCACTAATTTTGTACATCTCACGTTTCCCGGTTGAACTTTAGTTTTGAAGTTTTATGTAGGCTGGTTAAACATTACTTGCGTTTAACGCATTATCTTTTACAAGAAAATAAATTGTACGCTGCAAGTTAACGGGCATTCACTCACATTGCCAGCAAATCAATAAGCCAGCATTCAAGATATTGAAAAACATTGCATCATTTAATTCATAGGATTTATTTTGAAAGTAGTTGAAGTGCAGCGGGATTGGCATAGAGCTGGGAGCAGCAATGCAAGCTTGTATGTTATAATGCCAACGAAGACGATTGTTCTGATGTAGGGTAGGCCTAATACTGATGGTTGTGCTAATGCTGCTATAATGATAATGAAAATTATGATGATGATGTCGTATGGCGGTGATGATGATGATGATGATGATGATGATGATGATGATGATGATGTCGTATGGTGGTGAAGGTGGTGGTAATGATGATGATGATGATGATGATAATGACGATGATGATGACGATGTTGATTAATGCTAATGGATGATGATGACGACATTGAATGGAAATATAATAATAGTATGCTTACAACATATTCAACTTTTGAGTTGACATTTTATCCTTGATACATCATACCGTATTCATTTCGATTAGGCACTGGATAAAAACGTAAAATAGACTTAACTAATTTAAGTTGCGGGCCTACTCAACGCCATATCTATTGACAACCGAGTCATTTACTGATCCTCCGATTGTAAATTTGGAATTCCAGATCACTCCAACCACTTTTTAAATCACTATACATGAGTAGCGTTGTTTTCAGTGCAAGTTTCAAGTAAATTGCACTTTAATTGCACACGAAGCGCTATCAAGAAAGAAAACTAAGTAATAAACAGCTGACGAATAATCACGTGACTAAGCGAGAGAGTCATCATTAATCACGATTTTTTGGTTTCTTTTGATTTCAATAGTTTGTGAAGTGAATATCAGTTGTGTATCTCAAAAACTACATAATACTGTATACATCAGTTGCAGATCCAGGTGGTGACAAAAAAAAGGGCACCCGCCACTGGCACCAGCCAAACAAACCACTATGCAACGGTGAAATCATTTAAGCTTTGTACACAGTAACAATTTTTTTATGAAACATTTTTGTGATGTGCCATATATGGGAACGATGATGTCATATTACACCCAAATGGGCATAATTATCACGTTTATTTTGTCACATAAAATATAATACTGTAGTGTGTTAAAATCCAAAAGCTTCCCCAATAGGGAAAGGGACCTCCAAAAACGTTCGTCTTTCGACCATAGCTTCAGTGCCCTCATGAATAGGAAAATACATTGATGCAGAAATAAGGTTTAAGTTATAGTAGTGTGAACACAGGATAGAAGTTATAGCAGTAGCACACTTAAAGGTACATTCACACCGAATCCGAATTTTCGGCCGGATCGGAAGGCCTACCGACCCCGATAAGAAATCCAATCAGTGTGTAAGAATAGGGACACATGGCGTTCAGAGCTTCGGAAATGCGGTCGGAATTTCGGTTTGAATCCGATGTGAATGTAGCTTAAGACAGGGAGCAGTAGAATTGGCTCTAATCCCCTTTTCATAGTATTTTACTTCGATTTGGCTTAAACTTCCAGTCCTATTTCCTTAACCTGAGCACTATCCATATTTTAAACATTTGTTTAATCAATTACAGGCATCAAATATTACCAATTAAGAGCATGTCAGAATACACGCTGTAAATTCCAAATATTTAAGATTAGTAATCGAGAGATTTATGTTAAATATTGATAAATATATCACCTATCTATAGAGTATCATGCTCTCCATTTATTAAAAACTAAAAGTGATTTTGATACGCAACCGTTGACTCATAATTTCTTTGCAACTGGTGCCGTTCCAGAGGGCGCTCTCTCAAAAACTTTGTGATGCATTTTCTTAAATTACATTTTCTGCGTCCAATTACATTTGGCTACGTGCAACTCCAATAAACACATGTTGTATTATAATTCTTTTGTAGATTTAATTCAAATTCTTTGTGGTTAGGCGTACAGATGCGAGAAATGTTGTACCTTTTTATCTAAATCGTACATTTCTTTATATTCCCGTCCAATTTTCTCCTTTCCTCTGATCGATGGAATCTGGCCGATGGCGAGTTTCACGACTTTTGCCAAATCAAGATTCGTGTCATACGATAAATTATTCCTCGTAGACATGATTTAGTGTTTAAACATGTGTGCTGAAAATAAGGATACTGAAACGCATTTTGCCAAATGTAGGTCAGCCAGAAGAAGGCATTCGTTCATTCATTCATAAGGATTTGGACGACTCTCAAGACAGTGTTTACTACTTCTAAAGATGTGCGTATATGTAGATAGATCTCTGGTCATATCATCATTGGTGACACGTGGAGACATTTAATGTCTCCATTTGCATGCAGCAAACGGATTGGTAATAAACAATTAACAACACTGAAATTCAAGAAATCATTAAAACAAACAACTTATCAACAGTAATAGAAGTTCAAAAACAGGACTCACAATTGGCTAGAACATTAAAAATCATAAACCATAAAACTTGTAAATGGACAAAACAAGGAAAAATAATTAAGAACGAGTGCTATTACTGGTGCATGGTATCGTAGGGGATACGCCTAAAAATAATAACAATATTTAATTCAGAAGCAAGCCGAGAACGAAGTAATGGAATTATTTAAGAGATTGGCAATTTGAAAAGACGACGACGAGACGATGATGTTTGTGAGATGGTTGCAGTTTTAACGCGCAATTATGACTAAAATAACTACTGTTGCTGCTGCTACTACTGCTGCTGTTGCTGATCCTACCACCATCTAAATACTCGACTGCTACGGTACTATTACTCTTTTTTTACTCCTTCTACTGCTACTACCATTACTGGGCCTAACACTAAGATTCGACTAAAGAATCAGGGTGCGATTTATTTGGATATCACTTACGCAGTATATCCCTTTTACCTACCTTGAATGAACATCAAAATGAAATACCGATGAGAGAGGCTTGATATTAAACCACCGATGGTTAATAACTCGACCACAATAAAAATTTAGTTTCCAATGTATAGTTCTTCCGAGACTACCCTACTCTAACAATGCACACCTGTTCACTCCGGACCACCGCTGGCCTTCTTAAAAACTTAATACTTCAATAGAAACTTTCTCTAAGAACATTTGATTCGGGCTATATACAATTTTATTCAACTATCTTATTCACATTAATTACATTTGTCTACATCGTCATAAATTGAATTCTAAATAGTTATATTGCGAATAACTTACAATACAAACATTAGCTTTGGAATTACACTGTTTTTATGAAGAGGATTCGGAAGCACGACGCCAAAATCGTTAATTTTTATGATAGTACATGTTAAGTACAGATAAAATCTTAATCTATCAAATCGCTACCACCAGGTATTTCACTTCAATACTTAAAGTTTCATTGGATTCGAACTCTGAATTTTCATTATAGATTTTAAAACATAGTTTTCTCAAGTTTCGAAAACGCCGATAACGAAGTTACGTTACCAAATTAAGAATTTTTAAGCCGATCTATCCCCATTCATAAATTAGGAAGCTTTGGATTGCACGAAGACGGTGAGATCTAGTAATGATGTCATAATGACTCATCTACGCATGTGAAGTCTTTGAGTTCCTGTGGCCGAGAACGCAGGACGGTTACGCACGAGTGAATCCGTCACGTAGACACGCAACCAAAATCCCCCATAATTAACTGTCACAACGTATCTTCGTTTACGAGGATCATCGATCTTATTCAATTCGCGTATTCGTTGTCAAGCACTAAATGTAATTGTTTTCATTTGAAAACGAATGAAGATTTGGAGTATTCGTATTCAGGTATTGTTTTCGTAAGGTTGCAATCTATAATACCGAGGTAATGACAACGGTAATTTATCGCATTTTGCTGTTTATAACTCACTATATTATTGTTTTAAAATGAATTTTGCCTTGCATGGAAGATCAATTTCCCCAAGTAAAATTTGTAAAAAATCTAAATCCATTTTAAAACACTGAATTGCTCATTTCAAAGGTATGAAATATGTCATCAATACGACAGATTTTCATTGCTTATGATACTTTTGAATACATTTATAAACCTAAAGAAGTAAGTTAAAAACACCAATAATTTGGTGATACTGTACAAGTACTGACCTCCTTTATAATAAAGTTATCAACTATTATTATTACTAACTATAATTATTATTATTATTGTTACCAGATCACTCAGAAATGCCTGTGATATACTGAATATGGAATGATATCCAGAAGGAAGGTAGTTCTTTAACACAATTGAACTTTACAATGTTGGCAGGAAGGTTATCAGTGCATAGCTTGTTACACGCTGTGTGGCTTTATCATATAGCGTATTATACAAATACTGTACATTATTACCATTATCAGTACAATTACATTCACATAAGGCATATTCATATTTTCTAATGCACAAACTTTGGAAAGAGGGGGAAAGACTGTTTATTTATTAATTTATCAAAACATGAAGACACAATTTTTAAAATATATACAGTATTATGAAAGACAAAAATTAAAATACACTTGATAATACTTAAATTTGTCCTTCTTTATGTTGGAGTCTTAGAAAAAATATCATTGGTGGGTTTATGAAAGACATCTGAAAAACAAATACCAAGATATAATTTATATATACATTTTTATATACACATATTTTTGATATCAGATGCTGTGTAATTAAACGCCTAACATGAAAGCTTGCTTCGTATTTGATCTTGATTCGGTGATATCCATCCTGGGGGCCACTGGGTTGTTAAGCGTTGCGTTGAAAGTACCTTTAAGCACGGTATCCTGTATCAATGGACTCATCTACGGAGGACAAACAACACAAAGTCAATTACGCAAGGTTCATAATCCGACCATTAAAAGAAATTGCAATTATCAGCACAGGTGAGTCTATCAAAGCATGTCACGTTAAATAGCCAACTGGGTCAAAGAAAATTAATTTCACACAAAACAATGAATATATCATAGAAAATGCTAACAAAAGTTGCCAATATATACAATGAACACATACACATTAAGGATAAACATGACAAAGGCAGCATATACAACATACAAAATTGAAAAATTTAATCAGAAGTTAATTAATTTTATATACATAATGTAGAAAAGTAATGAATAATGTAAACTTTCTAGATATTGAATGGAAAATTATGAGAATGAGTGATACAAGATAAGATAATTTTTATTGTCTCATTTAATATACAGTATACATGAAATATGTCATGATACTGATTGATGTTATAACACTGCTCAGGGGAAACCACTATATTAAGGGGACACTTGTTTAGGCGCAAATCGAGAAAAAATAATTTTTTTTATTACTACGGCTGATCATTTTTAAGGAGATACTTCGTTGATCCTGAAGGTGTCCCATTAATAAGGGTTCTACTGTATTATGAAAATCTTATGTTTCAAAAAAGAATACAATATACATAGCTTGAATGTTATTAATATAATACCAAGCTATGCATATTGTATATATATAATATTAATAACTTGTACTTACTTCATATGCTCCTGGACCTGGGTTTTCATTTTTGTGTTCTTTGAAACGACTATCTTTGTAAACCATCATGCCTAACTTAACATTACCACGAGAGTCTTCTGGTTGGTATGTACCAGGGCCTAAAAAAACCAAGAATACTATGATCAATCTGTGTGCGAGTGTGTGGACAAGGAGCATGGAGGTGTGGATTCGCGAAAGGGACGATTGAGAGAGGGCGTATGTGAGAGGCTAAAAGTCACTCATTGTTCGATTTTGAGACCTGTTGTTTGTAACTAGGTTACGTGTAAAGGCACTACAGTATAATGACTAGTTGGTTGGTAGTTACTCAAAAACGAAGTGGTACAAATGGCACAGTGATGTAATGCCATAGGACTCCATCTCACTACTCTCACCTCTATAACTATATTACTATACTTCGTCGATCACATCACAAACTAACACAATGTAAGTAGATTGTGTTAGCGAATTAAAATATGCGCTGTTGTCTTTTCGTCGTAAAGAATACAAAAGTGCTTGACAAACAATATGCACTTATTTTTTCATGTTTATTTTGTCACGTTTTTTGTTTTGTTTTCAAGAACTAACACAATCTACTTTGATTGTGTTAGTTCGTGATGTGGGTGACAATTTGTTTAATCTCCTAATTTTCTTTTTTTGATTGATCCTTACTACTTATTAAAACAAATATATAAAGTGTTCAAAGACATATGGAAATTGAGTATGAATTTTAGTATTTCTGTCCTTACCTGGATTAGCCGATTCTGGTTTTTCAATAATCATGTCCCTAGGTTGCGCAAACCTTGAGGAAGATGAGAGAAAAGATCCTTTTTTTCGCTTTCCAATGACTGACCTCGGAGGAGCTGGTTCTACCTTAGCCTGGGTACGATCATACGACTTGCTAACCTCGTATGACCCTGGGGGAGGTACATCCTATAAATAAGGTCAACTTAATGTTAATAATCATAATGAGAGTGTACTGACACAAGCGCAGCAAGAACAGAACAGTTTATAGCTCAAAAATACATTTGCCAACTTATGTGCAAATATGAGATGTGATGTGTACCGTTAATTATCAAATAAACCTCCCACTCAAAAAGTGCCCCTCTTGAACAACCACTGTACAAAACAGTAGAGTGGAGTTGAATAGCTTAGTGGTTAATATGTTTGCCTTCCAATCCCAGGGTCCTGGGTTCAATTCCAGTCAGGGAACAGAATTTTTTCTCTTGACAAAAAGAACTCCACTACCTAAGCCTCATAATAATGATACTTAGACTATGTAGAGCATCTTGTGTTTATGTTTGTGTTGTGATGAGATTACCACTTTGAAGAGTGATTAAGTTCACAGTTTGGCATATCCTTGGCCCTAGTGCTGAAAGCTAAATGAAATAAATTAAAAATATATTCTTTGCTAGAGACTAGTAAACATACATAAACCACATGTAAAGTCAAAAGAAAGACAGAATGTTTTCTCCATCAGGAGTATAAAATTGTTGGAACTCGCTGCCCAGTTATGTAATAAATACTCAAACTGTAAACCAATTCAAGTCTCAATTAAAAAAGCACTGGTCTGACCATCCATTGAAATACAGCCTGTACGTACCCAAGCAGATGTTTTAACAAGTCAAGAGGGGCACAAAAGCTCTAAGCTTTAAGTCTTGAAATCCAGGTAGATCCCGGTAGGAAGAGCCATGTGACGACACCTAATTTTTCTTTAATTAAAAGTGCTACATCTGACCAAGTAGAGGTGTCATAGACATAAACTTTTGTACCTCATTCTCAACCATGGTGGGCTGAAGTTGGACACTAATCAATCACTGAAATTCCCTCCCTGGGTTCCCTCTATTTTGAATCCCCAAATCCTCCACTGTATAATGTACCTTGATAATAGGTGGTGGTGAGTGCAGCCTGTTGGTCTGTGATGAAAAATTTGCAGAGATGTTCTGTGAGTATCTACTGTAATCTGGTTTGTCTTTGACTTGGTAATGAGCTGGGCCTGGTTGGGCTGCTTCGGTTTGTTTTGTTATTGGTTTGATGCGAACCGACGTTGATCCGAACGCGCCTCTCCTGGTGCTTTCTACGTAAGCTTTCCGTACACTATCCTGAGCGATGCCTCGGAAATTATACGATCCTGGCCCTAGAATAAAAAATAAAAAAACGTGTTATATAACTTTGGAATAAACCATTTAACATTTGATTTTATTACTTTATATTGTTTTCAAATCTGAATAAATAAATAAAAATATACTATCTGTGTAATTGTATAAAAAAATAAAATTCAATATTTGAAATTTTTACTTTCTATATTCATTTAGTTCAGGAATGGGCATAAAAATGGGTCAAAGGGTCAAAGTGGATTTTTGTTTTAGTAGTGAGAGCTGCACCCAAACCTTAACATTTATAGTGTGCTTGTAAAAACCTTCATAATCTTTTATATTTGTAACTCCTAAGCTGATCTTAAATTTTATCCTTTTAAAAGAGCAATTAAATTTGTAAACAAAATTTGATGGAGGTTTCCAGATATTATTAAAATAGTGCAGTGTATCTTTAAAACATCATTTTCTTTGACAAATATCTGTTTTAAATCATTGTTCCCAAGTATGTAATATTACACCCATATATAGGCATGATGACATCATATCACAACAATAAATGGACAAATTACAGGTATCAAGACCATGAAATCACCTGGAGTTTTTTGAATGTGCGGTTCTGTGGTAAACCTTAATGCTGTTTGACCAAAAGGACTTTTCTTTAAACCTCTTGTTCGCTTGAGGACTTCTAAGGCATGACGTGGGTCATTGTACGTTCCCGGTGCAGGTGCTTTATTTTTAGGATCAAAAAATCTCTAAAAAAAAAAAAGAAGTAATACCGGTATATCAAATACACAAATCAACGCATAAAAGTGATATCAATAATAATTTAAAATGATCATGACAAAGAGCACAGGTAAGTGCAAAAGCCTCTCTATCATGCAGTGTGATATTTATATTAATTTAAATTTATATGTTTATGCCAACAGTAAAATATAAATTTGCACAGTAAACATATTAGTAGGCTGTCACGGAGAGAGTGGAATAGACTGGACTGAAGCCTCTAGCATACCTTTGATTGTGACATGAATGGCGGGTGCTCAACTTCCAGGCCTTCTGTATTGATTGAGGGTTTCGTAATATCAAACTGACTATTGATCTGGTATTTGCCTGGTCCAGGAACAGCCTGTGTGAAGCGAATCATTTAAATTGATTAATACTGTATCATTTTGACTTCCTTCTCATCTTACTTGTTTCAATCAATATAAGTGAAAGGTGTCAAACATCAATACTAACAAATGTTAACTTGTTGACTTGTTGGAGTATAGAATCCCACAGTGATCTTTATATATATTATAATTTCAAGACAAAAGGTTTAGTTTCACCCTCCTCACCCACATGTGAGGGTTGAGGGTCACCAATGATCAGCTTCTGTTGGATGGTTCACCCCCATTCAATATGGTTCAAATACAAAAAAAAAAAAATAAATAAAAATAAATAAATATGACTTGCCACACAAATAAATAAAACATCAATTGTGAAAAGCAAGCCAAACCAGTCACTCGTCGCAAATCCTATTTCAGAGATAATGGCCAAAACATGCTGGAATGTCAACATTTATGAAATCTATTTTATTACAATACCTTTATATATCTACAGTATATATTATGTTATGCTGTTATTTTCCCCACATTTAATGTTAAAACAACAATTTTTAATGATTTGGTAATTGTTTCTGCCTGAGAAATACCCAAATCCTAAACCTTGAAGGCTGATTTCTCAAATAATGTTCGTTAAACAGCTGTATGTATAAACTTCTGTAACTTCATAATGAAATGTTATGGGCCTTCAATTTTAGGGTGTACTGTGAACAAACAAAAAAGGGATGAAAACCAAACTAACCTTTTTCTCAACTTCTTGTACAATCATTTCATGGTAACGTGGAAGCTTTGAGTCAAACACTCTGGTGCCATCCTTAGCTTTCATTAGCTCCGTCTCCATACACTTCACCTGATGTGGATTGTACTCACCAGGCCCTGGGCCATGGTTACCGCTGAAGTCCATCCTCTGAGAGGCCATGTTACCAAAATGCACACCTTTGTACTTCTTTGTTGCTTTTGTCTTATCCTGTCAGAAAAGGAATGCATTGATTGTTAAATGTTATGTGGTGTGGCAAGGCATTCATATTGTAGTATAGGACTCAGTCATTACTGCTGAACTGTACGGTCTATAAACTAACTGCTAATTTATTTCTCCTGTGAATCAAAGTTATGTTTTAAAAAGTGGAGTTGGTTTAGGGTGGAAAAATATAATATTTTATGAGATTTGGACCCAGGACGCCTTAGCTATTCCATGTCTAATTAACCAACATTTAAATACTACCATTTCGATAACAACTCTTAAATTTCTGCTTGCAAAATTAATTTTGTTTGTAGAAATAAAACTGTAAATCACTGTAAACTGATATTTTTTTTTCTTTTCTACCTGCGCCTTAGGAGTTGATAACCTCTGTTGTTCTTTTAAATGGATGAGCATTTAAAAGTTTTGTTATATTTTTGGATGGTCTTTTGTTTCGGTGGGGTATATCTTCAATACTTACATGTAGAACATTATAGAATGCTGGTCCCATGGAATTGTCCCTATCCGGGGGATCCTGCTTCTTCAATACGCCATCTTCATTTTCCTCGTAACCATACGACTGTCCAGGAGTTGGAATTGACGGAGCCTGTGCCTGCCGCTGATATCGAACTCTACTAGTACTACTAGTCAACTAAAAAAAATAAGAAAAAATTACAGAAATTTCATAAATTATTAATTACAAATTGATTATGTTCTCAGATTTTTTATTAAATCTGGTTTGTAATCATAGGCTTAGCCAGTGAGCCATCCGGCCGTCTTTTGGACGGCCTACAATTATTTAGAACGGCCACTTTTACCGTGACGGCATGGAAGGCTTGGCCTAATCAGCTCACCCTAGCCTAATTGAGCCTGGTCTACCTTTAGCAAATTCTTTATATTCTTCAAATCTATCGAATGTTACTTACATTATACTAAAGCTAAATCATATTTACGTTTGATAAAAACAACATTCATTGAATGTACGTTGTTTTCGTACCAATATTCGGTGGGGATTCCCATGGGTGTGGCCCCAAGTGGGTGTGGCCCACCCATCGGCTCAGTGCCACCCCAACTGGCTTCCATTTTGGACGGCCTATATCGTTTTTCTGGATAAACCCCTGTTTGTAATACTCCTAATATTTATCTCACAGTATACAGATATTTTATTCTAGTCTGTTTCTAAATCTTTCTTGAGCACTGTTCGTACTATCAGGTTTTATGGCGACACACTTGGAGACAATGGAGAATAGAAGCAGATGAACAAAAATTATGACATGAATGAAAAAAAAAAACTCTTACATTTCCTGATGGCCTTGTGTCATTTTCCGAGTAGCTAACCTTCTTGATCCAGTCACTACTTTTTGACAAATTATATGAGCCTGGACCAGGTGTCTTGCTCTTATTAAATTGAGTCTCCTGAAAACGTTGTGAGCGGTTTGCTAGAGTACGACCACCCACTATTCTATCTTGACACACCAAAGGATCATATTGTCCGGGTCCTGGTGCTGCTATCACACTGTCTTGTACTGTGAGGAAAGTTTCCCTTCGTGTCATGGAAGAAAAAGGAGCATATCCATCTAAAAGAAAGCCAAAAAAAAAAAAAAAGAATTTTAGTCAATATTAGAGCAATGGTATTTATTCATTCAAGCATTGCTCTTGCTTGATGGCATTTGCAAAAATGAAATGAATTTGTAAAAACATGTGGGATGTCTTAAAAAAAAACAGGACTGCACTTCAGTCAATGTGAAAATGAATAATAAAATAATAAGTAAAATTTATATTTACAATTAAATTGCTAAATGATAGGCCTCAACCATGTCATGGACCCTAGCCTACGTCTAGTTAGTTTGTACACACTATCTATAAATAACAACTAATCCTTGGCTTAGCCTAGGCCCCCTCTAGCTAGTCTCTAGCTCACTTAGGCCTAGGCCTAACCTAGCCTCTAGCCTAGGCAGGCTCGGCCTAGGGATAGGAGGATAAAGTAATGTAGGTCTAGGCCTATGCCTGGGGCCTATTCAGATTTCCATAATTCAAGTCATATACATTACATTACATACCTGCTCTTAACTTAGCAGAGGTGGGAACTAAGTTTTCGTAGGTTCCAGGCCCGACATTTGGTCCTGTTGAGTGTGATCCAGAAGTTAGATGTCGTGGAGCTCTATCATACATGGTTATCTGATTTCGTAAATCCTAGGTTAGGCCCTAGGCACCCATTCAAGTCCGGCGATGATCCTTCACCCACCTCACACAGGAAAGGTCCTTAGGCCTAATTAAAACTGACACTCCGCAATCAAAAACTTGAGGTAAACATCTTCTGTTAATAATACATGTCGTAATTATGGAAATAACTTATATAACTCACAGATACTAAATGCAACGGTACAATTATCATTCAGAAAACCACATCAACAGCATGCAAGGAATAACAATGTGTACTTGTATTTTCATGGTTGCCATAGGAGACACGATAGAGGGCGTCATAATGATTTACAGTAACCACTGATAGAGATCAGTGTTTTGAACGCGTTTGGTTGAAAGAGTTGACGCGACATCATTCTTTCATTTTGTTTATTTTGTCATCTTTAATTTGATTTTTATATTTTTATAATCCCTTTCCTTTTTTCTGTTTTGGAATAATTAAAATAACCTTTTTCATATGAATTAATACTAAAACTTACTAAAACAAAAACTTTAGTTGATCATCTTGCAATTAAGTGCAAGTAGACTGCTTGGATGTAATTGTAAAATCTTCCACTAAACTTCATCTGTATTTCAGTAGGATTATTACCCAACTTTAGATTTTTGTTGTTATATATAATTCTATTTCCAAAATCCAAGCTTCATCGATTACACAATCGTTTTTTGCGATACATCAGCCACAACACAATATTCCTCACATTCAATTCCCTGAGTCTCGTAGGCTGTTTTTTTTTTTTTTTATCTTGTTTTGTTTCACAAATGTGTTCATTCTATTTTTGATTGCGATCTTTTTAGTAATTTTGGTCTTCATGGGCGCAGATCATGTGGGGGACACGTCCTCCCAAACATAATTTTAAGGGGTTTTGGCCCCCCCCCACTTTTCGATTGCAATGTATGATTTTAGTCAAGAAAGATGCCTGAAAATTGTTGAACTGCATAAATGACTCAGGTTTTAACGAAAGAGCGCTGTAGGCCTAGTACATCTTAATATCTTATAGCAAGAAACCGTATACCGTAGGCCTACCGGTATCTGCTCACAAACATGTGAATTACCTATAGGCCTAATACATGACTCGAGTGCCTGTGCCTTTATTTTGAGAAATATAACAAAAAACATGCAAGAAATAAGATTGTTTTTTTTGCACAAATACATCAAAGATTAGATTTCTATGATTGCCCAAAATCGCTGATAAAAAATCATAAGAAGTTTGTTGGCGCTTTATTTTGCCTATAACTGTAATGGTGATGTGATGATGAATTTTACTATATAAGAGTGTCATTTTCGGTCATCTAGAGGTAGTATTTCCCCAAATTATTACACCTCAGCCCCAACCATGTTGGGGCTGAGGTGGGTGTGGACTTACGTAAAGTAAATTTAGTACATCTAAGACAATGTTTTTAAGTTTCATTCTCTATGGTACATCACACAGATTAATTAGATCTCTATGATTGCCGAAAATTGCTGATAAAAGATATATTGTCTATTGTATCCAGGAGGCCTGTCAATAACTGAAAGTTAAACAAAAGAAAATTTAACCATGGAGGAAATACACTACCCTAGGGGCCTGGGGAACCCCCCTCCCCACGAAAATGTGGTGTTCTAGACGCCTGAAAATAACCTCTGAGTTTGGGCGATATTTTTTTTTCTTTTCCCCAGTAACTGTGAATGGATGTATGAGGTATGAATGCTGCTTAGGGTGTAAGAGGCCCCTGGTTCAATTCCCAGACAAGCCTGTTATATTTTTCACTTTTTTTTCTAAAAAATGAAAAAGTCAACCAGCCATTAAAAAAACTGAAAAAAAAGCAGTCACTCAAAAAAACAAGTACTATCACAAACTAGAGGGCGTCCTTTAAAAGAACGTAAAAGCGTTCGTAAATAGGGCGTCCCAATCTCGTAGTAGTACTTTTTTTTAACGTTCCATTGCAGGCATACAAAATAAGGGTAGTCGGACCTCTTGCAATTCTATATTCTTTGCCCATATGTGGTCATGATGTGCCTATATATGGTCAAAAAGTTATGTCATAATGACCATATCTGGGTATGTCACGTTTTTGTCAAATAAAATAAAAGGCTTTATAGAAGGAACAGGGAGATGTAAAAATATTAATAATTTACATCTCCCTGGAAGGAATGCAGTTGTATAAAGCATTTAAAAAAACCACTACTATGCTTATTCTGCCCTTCACATCATATATTTATTACACAAACAACTGAATGTCATATTGCAAGACATTATTTATATACATATTTCAATTTACTTGTAATTTATCTCCAATGTTTATTTCCAAGTTTGGTTTATTCTTTATAAATATTTGCATGGTGATGTAAAAACTTAAGTACAATGAGTTCATTACACAATATTGGCTTTATACTGGAAAGATAATAACATTTGTGACAGTGTTGAACAGTGTGACCAAAGTACAATCACATTACAATAGTAAACATCCACATGAATGAAATACCCCCTCCCTTAGAATTAAGAGGATGCTTATCACCTTTTCATTCACTCATTTTTACCAACTTAAGACTTTTTATTGACTCTGAGAGTCTTTGGATTTCTAGAGGGGCTAGTTCTATCACTCTAAATTAGAATTTGAATTTAATACACCATTTCTCAATTTCATATATTTAGCTTATTGTATTTTAAAAAAATCACAGCAAACTTAGAGACTCTGATATACTAAGAAGTTCTATATATATAAATATACTTGATAAACAAATTATATACTTGAAATAAATATAAGTAAAATAAATGTCTGATGAAGTAAACTATCTATTGAAAGTGTCATTTAAATGAATTTCAAATTTTAAATGAATTTAAATTTAATTTCAATTTTCATTCAAAGATTTATACATTTTCTTTGAAAAATAATTGCAAGGTAAAATAATTTGGCTTTGTCAGTTTTCAACTTGACATCTATTGATGCTTAATTTAAGACACAATACTAAGACATGTTTTAAACTACTTACTATCAACGTTTTGAACTTAGAATAAAAAGACTACACAATCATAACAACAGTTTTCTGAGTAAAACCCAAGATAAACTGGATACATTAATAACTCGCTTAGGGCTTCACATATTAAGGCACTCGATAAATTAAAACTTAGGCTTGCAATCCCTTACTGACCAGAAAGGCTTCCTGGCTTGGTTCGCGTCCCAGGAAATTTTTCAACATATCTATGGCATCCTAAAAAAAAAAAGAACAGGATTGTGACGACAAATTCTTTAGCAGAAGAGACAATTATTATTATTCCTCATTATATAACCTAATATAATGAAGAATTTGTTAGGTAAAGTCTGTCTGTGAGAAACAGTACAACACAGTTGTAGTGCCAGCAGGGAAGGGGAATTTCTCCCATCGGACAAGCCTGGACCCCCTGTCATTCAACGCACGACTAGGTCGTCAGAAAAAAAAACAAATTTGCCTATCAAATTACATTATTTTGATTGCCAATCCCTAATGTTGTGGTCTAAAAGCACATTTTGGACATACTAAGCCATAAAAACTCCCCCAAGAACCCTACCAAGCATCCGGGCCGCTGACCGAGGCTCTAGCTGGCCCCTTGTTTGGGACCCCTCAGTCGGACATGTTGGAATCCTTGTCGGCAAATTTCTGACACCACCACTGCATCAATACTGGGGCTCAGCCAATAAACAAGGACTTACCACAATGGTGGAGGAACTAACTACAATCATTATTGCGGCATTACCAATTGGTATTGTATTGCATGAGAGAATTGATAGGACATAAACTGCAGTAATTCTATGCTAGTATGTAGCATTTGCATACATGTTTATGTTCTGTATCCACCACTAGGTTGTAAATAATTGGCTTAAAAATACATGGACCATAAAACAATTCTACTTACCAATGATCCACCTGGTTGAAGGATAAACTTCCTGTAATCCATTCCTACTTTAGGGCTCATTATTCCTTCTTTCTTGAAGCGGGAATGAAACATATCCATGCAGTAAACTTCACTCCACTGGGGGAAAAAGCAGGACGTAATAAAATACACTTTAAATAACAAATTTTCAAATATATTTCCTGTTTTATGTGTCTCTGATTAGGTAACTTGATAAATGGTGTATTATATTTACTGCAAATTTTGTATACATGGCAAATAGATGTTGTTGTACAGTGGTAGTTGGGTGAAAAAATTCAGTGAATAATATTCAATGGCAAGAGGTTAAAGATCAAGAGGGCAAAGACTAGACAGCAAGACTAAATCATGCACACTGTCAGCAACAACTTGCTAAGCATGGTGTGACAACGAATAATAGGTAAGTAGGAGAATAACCCATAACAAGTAGCATCATTGTACATGGTCTGTGAATACTGTAGCAGCCGTGGAGAGGTGCTTTGTTCACATTCCACGACAGAGCCATAAATGAATCATAGCATCGGGATAAACTGAAAGATACAATGGGTTCTTTGAAGTGCACACAAGACAGTTGTATACACTGGACCTCCCGTTTCTCAGTCCATATTTGTGAAGACTTGGTTCTACAAACCAAACCCTGGGCGAGGAGCAGCTCGAACCAGGGCCGATGTTAAGGCTGTAATTAGAGGTGACCCTGCCTTGCCACTTGACTTGAATGGACAAGGACTCATAATGATGATGAATACCATGACACACAGCAAACAAAATGAATCATAATCCAATAAAAAGATTTCTTACCAAGTAGCCATAATACTGGGCGTCGTAGCCGTCAGCAAGATGGCCGAACGAAGCACACATGTTAGTGTTTGGAGTGGCTGGGATCTGAAGAACGTCCTTGGAAATCTCTGCATAGATGGCTTGTGTGTCAGCCTAAGAAAATAAAGAAAATAACCATAAATTATGTTAATTTAAAATGCATATAAAACTTTATGCCATATTCAGATACCATGGGTTTTTTTTTTTTCCTCTTCTTGTACTTTATGCTTACCGTAGGCCTAGTATGGATGGTTTGGTCGAAGGTGCCAAGCAGGATTTGGCGCTGATTAAAGACTCCTGCATTTGCGTTGCGTGCTTTCACCAGTTTTTCCATCAGCTCATCAGGAATTGGACTGCCATCTTTATAGTGTTTGGACATTCGCGACAAGGACTCCTTCTCCCACACCCAGTTCTCCAACATCTGTGAGGGTGCTTCTACAAAATCACGCTCAACACGAGTTCCACTGCAAGAGAAACAATCTGTTTAGTCTAGCTGATCCATATTTGAATGATCTTTTCCATGTTTAATATGATTTATTTTTCACTATGAAATATTATAATATTTTCTTTGAAATGTTTCTACAAGTGACATAATACATCAATTTAGCTATACATTATTATTTTTTTTACAAATAAACACACCTGAAAAAAGTGAAGTCTGTTTGTCCCAAAATATCATGCATAACATGGCCAAATTCATGAAAGAACGTTTCCACCTATATTGATGAGAAACAAAATACAGGTGATCATAACTAATTTGAATATATGCAAATACCTGAACAAGCTGATCTCAGCCTGGGCACAGATCTGATGCATCACATGACCAAATTCATGGAAGAAAGTCTCCACCTGTTGTCAATGGGTTAAACTCATTAGTATTTTGAATATATTATGCAAATGAGATTTCATATATTCTTTAAATATTTCATTTTCATATTATCACTAATAACCAAATTATCATAGTGAAAAGAATTATCTTATGGTATGAACAATGTCAAAGCACAGATTTCATTGAAAAATGTGAAGTATCTATAAGTGAATTGTCATAACTATTATGAATTACATTTTCCACATCTATAAATTCCAACATTTTGATTACTGGGGGAATGGATGATGTAAATATTTTTGTATGAGCTATTTCCTATTATAGTTAATCTTTCCATAAAAGAATAAAACATACAACACTGTGATAAGAAGATAAAATCTAGTGATGATCACGATGATCAACACTTAAAACTTACGTCATCATGAGTGAGAAGAGATGGCTGATCTGCGGTAGGCTTGGTGAAGTTAGCAACCATTGCTGCTGCTGCAGATTGTCTACTACCATCAGGTTCTAGACAACCAGGCTAGTAAAAAGATAATCACAATTGACACCAAATACAAACAAGAACATTCAAATTTATCTAGGAAATTAAACCCGATATATCACAGATTCAATTGATACACCTACCTAAAAAATGACAATACAAGAATATCACATACTGAAATGTGTATAAATGTTTCTAAATTTGTTTATGTATATTTTCTAAACATAACTTTTACCGATTGACCTCAGAACTTATGGTTATTAGGAACTCCCTGCTATCCAAAATACACACCCAATAATGTGTAGTAGAGAGGACATTATTGCCTCTTACTAAAACTTTATTCTGTGAGACTTGTATTACTCTACGTTACCTGCAATCCAAAGCAAGCTGCATGACTAAACTTGCCCTCGCGAGGGAAAAGGTCAAGGAAGAAATGACCCATGAACTTTCCACTCTCAGCATCAACAACAGTGAACTATGGACATAAAAATTAACATGGTAAAAATACTACTAAATCATTCAATAAATATGTAACTTTTTGTTTATTCGCATCATAGGATTAAAACAAAATTTCTTGGACAGATGCAGATACTTTGCCTACTAACAGTAGATAAAGTGCCCAATAAACTACATCAAATGTTCCATAGGACAAATATATTTCTCCATGTTGCAGGGATACCAAAATCAACAATGCAAGTTTATTTACATGATAAAAAGCGTGTTTCCTAATCAACTGAAATCAACCTATAATAAACAAAATTTATTAGCTGCTGATCTATGCCTGATCAGCAAGCTGTGCTTTGGCACAGTCCTCAATGAACCTCTACTATGACCTTCGGTTGCACAACGATGGTAGGACGTAGAATGTAATGACATCACTAAAAGTCATCTGCGCATTCTGGAACGCAATTTGGCTAAATCTACGTATGCAGAGAAAGTAAGACGCCAGGTAGGATGGTCACGCATGAGTGATTCCGTTCTAGCGTCGTGTTGTTGCACAAAGCTCCCTATTAAATTTGTGACATCAGACAAGAAAACAGAGTAAATATTTTCTGATATATTAGAATATCATATGTGTGTAGTTAGCTTAAGTAAAGTACTATTCATAAAAGAACTAAGAAGAGTACTATGGCATTATCAATGTCAAATTTATTTCCAACCAAACTAAGGGGCATGGGATTGAGGGTTTGTATAATCTGATGGATTCCTGGAGAAAAAGTGTAGAGGGTTTGATATGTTTCTAGCAGAGAGAGGAAGAGGAGGGTAAATTGATGACTCACCATTTGAACATCTTCATGCCACACAGGAGGATTTGGCACTTCCTTAAACTTTAAACCAAGAAGTTCCTGAAAGCGACAGAAGATATTATTTTTGGCAAAACACTACAACTCTAAAGATAATATAGCAATTAAGTAATTCAATTGCTTTTGCCTCTTTTTGAAACAAAAGCTCAACTCTCTTAGGGTGTGCAACAAAAACGACAGTGTTATAGGCCCAAATATAGGCCCTACCTGGTAGATGTCCAGTAGTCCGACGGTGACATGGTCCAGGGGGAAGTACTCCTTGAGTTTATTGTGGTCAATGGAATATTCCCTCTCTTCTGCTATGGTCATGTAGTACCTCATATCCCAGTAGTTTATCTTGCCATCAAATGAAATGCCCAACTTCTTGCACTGTGCAAGTAAAAATTATTATAAATTGTTCAGTGAATAGTTTTCAACATTACTAAATCTAAACATTAATAACATTAGTGTTAACATCATTAGTAACATATCATTTTCATTAATGCTCAGAGTATCAACATTGTGATCCACATAAATAACCTTAATAATTATCAACACTAATAATTAAATAATAATTAATAATTATGATCAACACTATTATCATAAGTATCTTTAACATTCAATTATCATCATACTGTAAATCATCATTATTAATATCACCATTAAAGCATGGATGAGTTCATGGAAGAACCATCGGGCATCCAACCTTTCCCCTAGGGTGATGGGTTAGTGGTATGCCAGGGCAGGCTCACTGTAATAACAATCGCTCCTATAGTGAAATGATGACACAAACAAAACAAGGGCAGCAACTAGCCTGTAGGTTGCCGTGGGCTGCACCTGCCTATGACAAAAAGGAAGGTGCAAAACCTTGACGGAGAATGCTAAGACCTGTCAGTAACCCTTCGTAAGAGGTAAAATGCTGACTTGAATAAATGATCAGATCAGCATCATCATTGTTGACTTCATCAATATCAAGATAATTATTATTATAAACTCAACATCACACTATCTACTTCATCATCATCTACCCCATTATCACCATTATAAACACCATCATCACAACCAATAAGATTGAACACCATAATTATGAATCATTATTATCAACATTATTCATGAATCTTAATTACCATTATTGTTAGTCGTTAGTAATTTGTACATGTTTATGCCTGTTGGTGATAACTCTTACCTCTTCTTCCTTGTATTCTAAGAAACGCTTCAATTCCTTACCCTGTAGAGGGCGCAGTTTCTGAGACAAGTCTTTTAGAAACGTGCTAACCGTTTCAGGATTCTTGGCCATACGCATATCTAGAACAAATGCAGCGTGTGTTGGGAAATCCAACAGTTTGCTTTTCTGCAATGTAATTTTTAAAAAAAGTAAGTAGAATTCAAACAAAGTTATTGTGTACCTGCTGCTATTTGGGACTGAATTTAGCACAAAGCACAATTTCGATGGTCTAGTTGTTAAGACACCAGGCTAGTTATCTGGAGGTCGTGGGTTTGATTAAACATTTGGGAACATATTAAGCATTTCAGAATGATAACACATCATTCATCATTTTGATTGCCAATCCCTATGTTGGGTCATCCTAAGCAATAAAATCTCTCCCAGTGAATACTACCCTGGATTTCATTCATGTGGCTTTGACAAAGGCTCTAGGTGGCCCCTTGGCTAGGACCCCACATCCAATTTCTTGAAATCCCTGGTGGCAAATTACTAGCGCTATCATTGAGTAGCATATCTAATTTTTTTTAAAATATTGTGTGTCTGCATTATTACCTTATCACGAATTTCTACCAATTCTTCCATTATTTTAGTGTTGGCCTCTTTACACCTAAAGGAAGTAAACGGAAAAAATTATTACATTATTAATATGCAGCTTACAATGTTATAATAGGGACCTTTTGATTGCACGATGGCAGTAGGATGTAGAATGTAATGATGTCACATAAAGTCATCTGTGTATGTGAGAACGTTAACTTCTCATTGTCGCATGGATTCTAAGATGCAATTTGGCAAAATATATGTTGTGCAGAGGATGGTCATGCATGAGAGAGTATGTTCTAGCGTCACATCGGCGCACAAATTGAAAACTCCCTAATTGCACCTTCAGAAATCTTCCACCTCCATTGACCGTACTTATATACACAGCAAACCATCATCTTTTACCTTGAGTTGAAAGCATACTCCATCTTCTGTCGGGTCTCTGGTACCCTACACTTCTTCATGACCGGGAAATAATCAGGGTATTGTAGGGTTACCTTGCACTTGCCATCACTTGTCTAAAAACACAAATAAATCAAAATAATGTAAATGGCATTTCCCACTCTTTTAATTGGCAGTCCAGTGGTTGATATAATGTGAGTCTCTAATCATTCTTCCTATTCCTCTGGGGCTGATACAGGGTTTGGCAGTAGGGGGTATGCGAGAGTTCACAGCACCTCAGCCCCACCATGGGGGTGGGCTGAAGTGCGAAAATCTTGAGAATATGGACCTTGGGTGCCCAGAAATTGTAATCTCATACCCTAAAAATCTTACCGGTAATTCATATCAACAATACAATACAATTATTTTTCTTAATACAATTTAGGGTGTGTGGTTGCACCACCTGCACCCCCTAAATCCACCCCAGTTCCTCTTAGTATAACTAATTTGGATGTGATTACCTACCTTCTCAAATCTCTTGATGGCATCAGCTGGAACACCATCTACAAAGAAAATTTGATAATAATAATTTATTAATAAATCTTACAATCACTGATAATAATACTTTTAGTGCCTTTAAACAAAGTGTTATATAAATTACAATGATGTTTGAATTAAATTTGAAGCTGCATCATAAATCTGTGAAAAAAAACCCTACAACTTACTATGTCAAACTATTTGCATAATGACTTCATTTGCATATTTATTTACATTTTGTATTTACCTAATTCCTTTTCGGTGAACTCCAACACTGTGTTCTCATCGTTAATGTTCTTGTTGAAATCTATCGCAATATCACTGGCCCGCTTCTTCATGGTTTTTATCTTTTCTTGAACTTCCTTATTCAAATGTAGACCTGTTCATGAAATAAAATGACAGGATTTTTATATAAATATTTGGGATTGGAATGCAGGTATCTTTACTGCCAAGTCATAGCAAGTGATCATTTATTCAAGATCTAAAGAATATACACACTCACAAGATAAACAATGAAAACATTGAGGGTTAGTGACTGCATAAAGCCATTAAGTATACAATTTTGAGTACATTAACTTTTTTGTCGACCCAATTTAAGAAGTATAGTTTTTAGCATAGTTACAGTTCCATCATCCTATTTAATATTTTAATAAATATTTTATTTAATTAGTTCTTTTAGCATGTAGTTACCGTTTCGTCGACCCAATTTAATAAGCTTCTCAAGGTAGCGCTTGGCTTCAGGTTTAAGTTTTGACACATCTGTCTTCTCTTGAAATGCCACTAAATTATCAAATACATCCTGCCTCATACTGAAAAACATAAATATGCAAGTTAACCAAATACTGTATACAAATGAGTTGACTATGCAAAAAGGTTTGTGGAAACTTTTTTTTTTCATTTTTATGATTGGTTTTTCTTATTTCTTCTATTTTCAATGTTTATGTCTGTATTGGTGAATGTATTTTTGAATAAATATGAATTTAATAAATTAGGAAAATATATATACCGTACCTCATTTCAACATCAAATTCTGACAATTTCTTGTCTGCCTCTGTACTTGCTTCACGGATCTCCTTCTTGGATGACACATGTTGAGGGAAATCTAGCATATTTCTCTGCACACTGTAGTAACTGTCATTATTTGACAGAGCCTACAATATAATAAAATTCATAAATTATCATCACTTTAAAAAAAAATTGTTTAGGGTGGTGGGTAATTTTTCAGTTGGGTCGATAGTTTCTTCAGGGGTGGTGATTTCCTGTTAGAGTTGGACAGTTTCCCAGAGGTTAAACATTTCCAAGGGTGGTGCAAGAGGTACTAACCCAGCTGTCGAAGACAACTAGCCAGGAAAAAATTATTATAATTATTTTCTACACCTAAAGGCTTTTCAGCATGCATGGTGGGGCTAGATGGTATAATACCTGCCAACTTTGTTGGCATCTCATGCATGAGACGAAAAAAATAAAATTTGTATACAGTGCCTTCTATGTAAAAATCATGAACTAGAGCATCACCTTTAGTTATTTTTATAAATTGTAGTGGTGGAACTGCTACTGATTATCGGTATAGCTTCATTAAAAGAAAATAATATGTGTTCACATTTTAATGACAAATTCACTTCATTTTTGTGAATTTTTGGGTATAATCAGCCTATACATTTTATCTTTTATAATAATAATAATAGCTATTTGAAAAACGCTATTTTAACAGCAGCACTCATCACATCGATGGTGCAGTCACAGTAGAGATATACGAATCAAGATCATAAAAACCAACGTAATAAAAGCACAAAAGATGGAAACCATTCCCTGGACATAAATAAACTTTAAATAAAGGAAATATAAGGAAAAATAAAGAGGCATGTAAACAGGAAATACTTAACTCTATAAACCACACCTAAGCAATTTACATAAATATACCACATAAATCATAATGATGAGCAGCTGATATGCAATGGATATTTTTATGATGCGTGAGATAATACAACGTAGAAGTGAGATGTACAAAGTGGATGCTCATGCACGAGACTATGCGTGAAAGTTGGTAGGTGTACGATATGGGTGTGGCCAATCTGTCGGAGGAATGCTTACGCCACCGCTGGCAATTTATAGAGGTGGGAATTTCCAAGCATGGATGAGAATTATTTTTTGTCTGGTTGGGGATTTTTCCAGAAAATTCACAACACACGGGTGAGGAATCAACTGTTATTTTTTACAGTAGACAGTATCATTTTGTATTTATTTAAATTGGTAGACCCTATGCCTATGTTGTAGTATAGTATAGCAGCAGTACAGTACAAAGAGCCTAGTCTCTGGATAGCCTAGCCTAAACCCAGCCTAGCCTTAAAATAAATTAGGCTCCTAGGCCTAGATTAATAAAATAATAATAGGCCTAAGTCCAGTCCATTGGTCAAGGAGGACCAAAGTGTGATCTGCTTGCATATGGGAATGGTATGATTTAGGCCTATTTATGATTTTACGAGTACCCAATAGCGTGCCCCCAATAAACCATATTGTATAATTACTTAAACAAATACTGTCTAATACATTTATCCCATAAATCAAGCTTATAATATTAATCCATATTGAGAAACTGCCTTGGTAACCACAGACGCTATCGCCACACATGGTCTATTTGTTCCACCACCACTCTCTCTACTATACGGCCAAACAAGGCCTACAACTAAGAGATTTTCCTCACTTGAATTATATTTTCATAGCTCAACTCATCCGCTTTCAGAGCTCCAACTTTATCGTATACATCTTTAACAGTTGTTTTCAAACTCTCGGCACGGTTCTTGATATCTTCTGCACTCAAATCCCAAGTCAATTTAATACGTTCTAAATAGGTAGCCATCTTTCTGCAAGCGAATTTCTCCAAGAACTTGGATTTCTGAGGACGCTTACGGAAATGAATGAAATGAATAAAAGCACATGCTTGATTGATTTCTTAACAGCGCCACCACACGGTTGTTGAGTCTTTTTAACAAATGTTAGAAAGAAATATGGATCACTAATCGTCAATCGAAACAACTTAGTGTGATTCAGGGACGTATCCAGGGGGAAGCCGTGGGAGCCGCGGCTCCCCCTTTGTACACAGTGTTAACATTTTAAAAGCTTATTCTTGAGCCAATACAAATTCTTTCCTGGGATCACTCAAAATGAATACTTCTAAACATGTAAATATGCATCAGTACACGTTATACATAGGCCTAATAGAACACATAGGCCTAAGCGTGATAAAAAAAAATCTTAAATCCATAAATCTAAGGCCAGGTCTTTTAAGATATAAATGCGATACTGTGGTTCAATTTCGTTTTTATCCTTTTGCAAGTTTCTTGAAATGTTTGTTTAATAATACTACTACTAATAGTAATAATAATAATAACAATGATGATGATGACGATAGTAATAATTGATATTAATAACAATAAAAAGTGAAGAATTGTGCTAAATGCGAAAAAAGTTGTGATTTGTTGATCATAATATAGTATATATAGTTAAAGATTAGTAAGCTATAATTAGGCCTACGTTGTCCTGGATATTAAGTAGATCCCTGATAAAAGATCATGAGAATTTTTTTGCCGTTTCATTTTGACTATAGTGGTAATGTGATGATGATGAAGTTTACTATATAAAAGTGTCATTTCCAGCCATCTCGAGAGGTACCATTTCCTCAAATTTTCTCACCTCAGCCCCAGCCATGGTGGGGCTGAGGTGGCTTTGAAATCACGTTTTTGAAGTAGGCCTATGTGAAGTACATACTCAAAGACAATGTTTTAAAGCTTTGTTTTCTATGGAATACACACATACATTAATAAGATCTCTATGATTGTCAAAATTCGTTGATAAAAGATCATGAGAATTTTTTTTTGGCGTTTCATTTTGACTAATGGTGATGTGATGATGATGAATTTTACTAAAAGTGTCATTTCTGGCCATCTAGAGGTACTATTTCCTCAAATTTTCTCACCTCAGCTCCAACCATTGTGGGGCTGAGGTGGGTGTCGACTCACAAAATGCCCTCCCCTCCACATTTCAAAACAGATCTGTGCTCTTCCCTGGGTATGACATTAAACTCCATCGATTAGGCTCCTGATGTATGTCTTAGTGACTGCTGTTTGTTTTTAGGATGTGATCTGGTTTTTCATGTACATTTTCCGTGATTATGACTATTCTGGATAAAGAATGTTTTGAGCAGAGGTGGATTCAAGGCCAGCCACCCCTTCATTTTTTAAGAAACAAAAAAAAGAAAAATATATTCAAATTGAAGTGCGAGAGTATATTCAAATTGAAGAGCGAGAGTGTAATTTCCGGCCATCTAGAGATGCCCTAATCATAAATTTTCTTACCTCAGCCCCAACCATGGTGGGGCTGAGGTGGGTGGTTCCTCGGTCTGTGAAAGTCCTTCCTTGGTTCACCTCTCTTTCGAATTCCTGGATCTGCCAATGTTGATTTATTATATAATTATTTTTGCGCTTATTCATAATGCGTCTATTACAATTTTCACTTTATCCTCTCAAACAGTCCTAAGAACGTTCAGAGTGCGCTACTTCATACGTAATTCGCATAACGGCTCCCCACCCTTTCAAAATCCTGGCTACGTCCCTGGTGTGATTTGTTTGTAATAAAAAATTCCAAAAATCAACATAAAAAAAAAAAAAAAAACACAAGCAAAAAAAAAAAAAAAATAAGAGTACCCAGAGTTCATTGACAATCCCACAATACAGTAATCTGATAAATTGTATTTTTTTTTTTACGTTTCTTTGTGTACTCAGTGGCGTATCTTGGGGGTGCAGCAGGGGGGAGCGGGGTGGGGTGCACGCCTCTCCAAAAAATACTCGCTCCCCCAAGTTGCCCCTCCCCTAAAAAAATCACCTTATTTTGCGAGTTAGCGCCCCTCAACTGCTCATCGAGTCCTCCCACATCAGCATCACATCCCATCAGCAGCCGCCCCATTTCAACCGCCACTGTGCGAACTATATATTTCTTTCGCTGTATTCTCCATGGCGAACAGTGCGACGATCTAAATCCTCGGCTGCTGTATCAAGATGATTTCCAAGTGAGAATAAACATGATTTTAGTGAAACCTGAAAGGAAGATGAGTTTGTACACGGTGAAATATTGACACAGATGAGACGGGGAAAACACTCAAATTTCTCAAAAGGCTTATACTGTATAAATACAGTTAAAAGTCGTTGCTAATACGTTGAATTAGAGGCGGTCCTAGTTGGAGACTGCTCTTATTGGTCTAGGAGGTTTGGTGAATGGATATCTGGAATGTGCGAGTTTTGAATTTTCTACCCTGGAAAATGTGGACCTTTGGTAATTTGGGGTGGAGAAGGGGGGTGCGTATGCACCCGTCGCACCCCATGCGGCCTGGAGCTACAGATTATCTCCATTTATAATTGTGACTCATGTTGCCAAAGTATATATTCTAATTGTCAGACAATTGTATAACAGATTATTGGGTTGTTGAATGCACACCTTCTACCAAGGTTCATGCGTTCGGCGTGAGACTAACGAATCGAGGTCTGTCTCACGCTCTCACTCTTAAAGACCAAAATCTCACTTTTATGTGCATTTCCTTTCTGTTATACCCTCCTCAATTGAACACTATTCTAAAAAGACATGAAACAATGGAACGTCTACACCAGTAAATCGTATTTCGTGTTTTCACTGTTTTATTCACCAACAATTCTGATTAACAAACATCAATAATTATAATTTACAGTTTTTGTATTTTTACTTTATATATATCATATACACCATTCTACCTGATAACTAGTCTTAATTCTGTTACCTGTTGTATAAAAACATTCACCCATGTAATGTAACTGACACGTTTTTAGGGTATTTGGCAGTTATGAGCAAACTTCTGGAAATATTATTTTGTACACATAGTCAGATCATTTAAATATAAAGAGAATGATGTCATTATAATCTTGACAACATGTTATACAGTTATACAAACAAAACAGACGTGGTTGTCCATCAATTAATCAAGGTTTGACAGAAATTATAACTTATCTACTAGTGTACTTTGGGATTGGCTGACATAACAGTCATTTTAACCAATCCTGTGTACTAATACTGTATTGGTAAAAAGTCGCCTGATTACTCCAGTTTGCGCAAGAGAAAAGAATCCCGCAAAAAGGCAAGCAAGCAAAGCAAGAAGAGTAGAAAAATAAGAAAGGGAAAAACAAAAAGTAGGAAAAACCGATGAACCAACAGGTAGTAAAATCATTTAGAATGTAGTAAATCTTAAAACATTTTCTTAGCAAGCAACTAATCACAAAATATTTACCATTACTTACTTAATACCGTATATGTGCTTTTAATTTGGTAAGACATTAATGGTAATACAGTATTTTTTTAAATAACATATGTAACTTAAATTTAAGGTATCCATAACAGCCATATTCATAAACAAATTATTAAGTAAAATGGGTTATTTCAAAATGTTAACGCTGTGATACCCAAATGGGTAAGCAAGCTATATAAGTACATTATTATATTTTGATGTCAGTTTTCATTATTATAATTATTTAATATATAATTTTACAGTAAAAAATCCATTAGTGAGATTTTAAGAATCATTTGCAAAAGTTAAAAAATAATTTGAACTTGATAAATGTGAAATAAATTTAATGAAAAACACAAAAAATTGACAATTTATAAATCAGAGTGCAAGGTGTGATCTCATGTCATGTGATTAAAAACCAAGGATATTTATATCTCCATGGTTACTGAAAACCTTAAGCATAAGCTAAACAACAACACATTGGCCATCGGCTGATCTCACATCATATTGCACTCAAAAATAACTTGACAAACAATTTCAAGGAAAATATATAAATAAGGAGGGAAAACATATTTACATTTCTTTACACTCTACACTATATGGAGCTGCCCAAATTTATAGAATTTGTATACTATAAAAAGGCACTGCTTCCCCCGACTCTACCATAACAAAACTTCACACACATTAGAAAAAAACACAATGGGATTACAAACATATAAGTCTACAAATATACATGCATCAGATAAGGGTATAATGGTGTATCAGTGTTAGGTCCAGGGGTGGTGAAAGGTTAACCTTCTTCCTCTCACTCCCCATTAGCAGCCGAAAAATGCGAGAATCATTAATTAAAATTTTGCTAAAACTTTGGAGTTTCCAGGAGGCTATGCCCTCTGGACCCCACATGACATAAGGGACCAACCACTCCCTTCCCTCCTTCCCCTTGCAAAATGTCTTGAACCTACCACTGAGGATGGATGTACATTCAAAATATCTCAAACATAAAACATCAAAAGCGTTTGATAACTGATGTTTCCATTCGATTACAAAAATATGAGTTTAATCCTAATACTGTACTGGTATTCTATTTTATACAGATATTTGAAAAATGTTTAAGATGTTAAAATGACATATTATCCATAAAAATGTTTCAAATTTCAATGTATTTATAGGGAGGTAGGGCTAAAATTCTACAAAAACAATCACAATTTTTTTCCAATCACTCTCTTCAATTAGATAAAAATTACAATTGCTTAAATGAACCAACATGGTAATATTTTCTAAATTAAGTATCCCCCCACCCCCCACTTAAAATAGAAAACATGTGTTAATAAAAAAACACAATTGTATTTCGGAAAACCTAATCAATTTTGGTACTTCCCTGAGGCAATCATTAATAGTTCAAAAAAGATCGCATCTTAAATAGATGCTTGTAGATGTGAATAACCAACCCGATTTGTCACTGTATGCGGACAAAACTATCTATGTTTAGATCACACACTATCGCTATCCTCACCTATTCTGTCGTGCGTCTTTTACAAAAATAATCACATTTTGTACACCATTCCCGGAAGAAAATGAACACATTTTACTGGTAAAAAAATCTTGCGAGTTTACAAAATCAGTCCTTTCTATTTATTTCAAGTCTTGGAACTTACTAAACCTTGTTTTTAATCTAACTGTTTTAAAGATGATCAACACAAATTGATCTACGTCATCTATTTGAATTTCTCCAAATAGATTTTATCACTATAAAATATTTACAAGTTGTACTGATATTCTCTGTACAATATTTTAATTTGAAACATGTTTTTTATATCCAGAATACTTGATTTGGTGCTGAATATAACTGCATAATAATGTAACAATATTTGGCATAATAATAACAGCTTGACATAATATTAGCATAATAGTGGCAGATCTAGAGAAAAACTTTCAAAGGAGCCATGGGTCATGCGAATTATGGACCAAGGGGTAGGGGGAGGTGCTTCCTCTCTTTCTATTCTTCTCTTCCCCTTTTTTGGGCCTTAGCTCTTGTTTCCCCACCCCTTGATCCACTCCTGTATAGTGCCTTGCGATTAGGTGCTTTCAATTAAGGTTTTCAGATCTTATTATACCCTTAAACTTTTTTATGCAAACACCAAATCAAATATTCTATCCGCCCCCAGCAAAACATTTTATAAACCGCGAGTAAAATCTACTAATGTACAAAACAACATATTTATAAACAGTTTATACAAATCAAACTTAATTTTAAGTGTGGGGATCAGGTCAAATTAATTATAAGAAATTATTATCTTTATATGTTAATTTTAATATCATAAATAAATATATATTTATATACGCTGTACATATTTTACAAATCCCAAAAGTATTTATTATTAGCATCATAACTGTAAAATTTAAGATGCTAAATTTGAGTTCAGATTTCTTTTCTCATCTATTTTGGCAGCAAATCAAGTCACACACAATCATAAGCATACTGCAACATCTGCAAATTAAAAAAAGAAGTTTTTAATATAAAAAAATCATACACAAACTCATGGTTATTTGAAGAACGAACTGTTCTATTATCTTTTATGGGTGTTTCAAGTGTTATAACTTTTCTCTCTCTGGTAAAAAAAAAAAAGCACAGAATGTATTAGTTGATTCATCCAGCAAAGACAATCAGTGACGTATCTAGCAGTCTTGAAATGGGGGGTAGTGGTGACAAGTATTTTAGGAAGCCCCCTAGATATTTCACTGGAGACAATCATTTAAGACCCTTGATTCTGTACAACCAAATCTGATGTGGCTTGGGATATGGTGCTGTTTTTGATTTGTTAATGATTTACAATATTTGGTCATTTTCTAAGATAATCTTCAAATGCTTACATTTTACAATGTTGAATCAACACCGTCATCAGCAGGATATTCCAACTCCTCTATCTTCATATCGTCTTCCTTTCCCGTGCGATAAAAGTTCTGATTTTCAATGTCACTGACACAACCGTGAATGATTCGAACACGGGCAGTCGTAGTTACAGTAGTTTCATGCCGAGGTGCCGAATGCATAGCTGGGTTGAAGGAGCGTGAATCTCTGTGTGGTCGCTGCGATCGTCTGTGAGAATGACGCCTAGTTGATCGTCTTGTCTGCAAAAAGAAGATCACATAATTTCAAAAGTTTCTTCCTTTACCCTAAATACTGTAAGCATCAGCTCTTGAATTACTCAAGAGTTAGAACCTGACTTTTATCATTAAAACATACTTTTTGCAATATCTGATTAAGAATTGGGTAATCATGTTTTATTAAATATTTTTTCCATCTTCAGTCTTAAAAATAAAAGAAATCCTTAAGGTTGGCAACAATATTTTTAAAAATGTTTGATAAATATATTAATTCAGTTGACTTTCATAATAAACTATCCTATATTACTGCACATACAGTAGCATTTATACAATAATTATAATATCAACTTACTTTATAATCTTTTGGCAAACTTCTCTCCACTACTACTTCCGGTGGTAAAATTTCAATGTGTTCCTCTCGCATTTGTCGTCGTCTATTATCTCGCATTCCAGACACAGACATACGCGTGAAGTCACGCCTTCTATCGTAACTCCTATCATATTGCCTTGTTATATAACTGTGTTCCTGCACCGGTGAAGGCGGAGGAGATGGCGTGCTTAGCCTTGTTGCTTGGTGTAGTGGTCGAACCTGGTAACAAAATTTATGTCACAATGTAAATTGACTATCAATATTATTTATGAAAAAGTTTTAAACTATGATATGCTTATCTTAATAATAACTGGTCAACTAGTGTAGAAAAACCATTTGATGATGTTTTACCTCAGCTTCTGGTCCAATTATTGATAGTAACACAGGGAACAGAACCAAACCATTTAGAAGTCCAATCACTACTAAAGCGGCCAAAACTTCAAAGAAATACCTAAAAAAAACCCAAAAAACATTATAATTTCATAATCATATAACTAACGACAACCACATTGCACACAATGAAAAGTCATGATAATGGTGATTGTATATTTTATTATTTAAAACATATCGTATATGTTTGTTACATTATGATATAATACATCATTTTTATGAAAATACCAATGATGCTCTTCACATATCAATCATTGATTTGTTAACTCTGTTTCACTTATCATTTGTAACAGTGTTATCAAATAATGACACAACTATACTAAAAACTTGAGTTTAAATTGTTTCTCTTTTTTTCCCTCTGGAGCCTGGACTTCAAGAGACAAAGTTCTTGAAGCAATAATATTTCCATATTATTTGGCAACAAGTAAAACATAAAATTGTAGTTGAGGTTCATCTTGGATCAGGACCAGATTGCAGGTGTATCTGACACTTTCTTAAGTAAACACTGATGATTCTTATTTTCTAAATCAACACAGCCTACGGCAAAATTCCTCAGCATCACTACTACTGGAGCGCACATAAACAGACAGGCTCACAGGATAGAAGACAGAGCATAACAGCCACCAGCTAAAGAACATTTTCATAGCAAATTGCCTGCTTCGGGATTGTTCACTAATTGCTTAAAAATCACGAAATGCATTTTTTTTCTGCTGATTGTATAGCTAAAGGGTGAAATGAGATTTGTCAAGATTCTTTAACGGTTTGGTCTGGTTTTTATGAAGGAAAAAAAAAAGAGTTCTTTTGAGAGTGCATTGAATTTGAAAGCAGGTCGAATACATGGCATCGACAAAGGTCAAAAAGTCTCTTTCAAGGGGTGCAAAAGTGGGTTAGGATTCAGAAGCCATTTAACATTTTTTTTGTTTTTTTAAATTTTTTTTGGAAAAGCGACAATTAGATTGATTGTTTGTTAACTAATAAAATTCACTAAGATCAACACAAAAGCAAACAATACTTTGTATCAATATACACTCCCTAACAGATCTCTCATAAATCAGGAGCTGGGATCTTTTTTTAGCTTTAAAATTGATTGCTATATAAACACTGTATTTACAGGTATGTTCTTCAACTGATAATTGTATCCTCAATCACTAAGATTATTGCTTATATAAAAATAGGCTCCCAGCGAAAGCGTGTGTCTACTTCTTAATAGTTTTTTTTTTGGCTACTAACAGTATAACTCATAACCCATAAATGCTTCCTGTATTGGTTATTAATAAATAACTGTACAAGTAAACATTATTGAATTTTTAGTTGTTTCTAGGACAGGTCTTGGCATGGTATCATACAGTATTTTACATGCTCACTTTAGGAAGACTGTTCATTTCTATCTTTAGTTTATGACGTATCCCATTAATCATCCAACTGGATTTACTCTTACAACTTACAGGAGAGATGATGGCAAAATATTGACTTGCCTTTCCTACGTAATAAACAAATGTATTAATGATAAAAAATGCATACAAAATGATTACTTACATTACAACAATTTCAAAGTCTGAACGAGCAAGAAGAGCAACACCGAGGAAAGTCGAAATACCGCCATCTACAACCGGAGTGAACGTGCTCACTAATGCCATAGAAATACGTCGATCACGATCACCAATCGACGTTAAAAAAGCCTACCAAGAAGAATTACAGAAAATGTTAGAATATATATATTTACATTTTGGCATAAATTATTTGAGACAATTTGTTTGTCATTTTTGTCTGTCATTTTTCGGAGTCACCATACTCATATTTTGTTGCTTAACATTATTATACATTATATGTATGTACTTATACAGTACTCTACACAAGTCTCAGAGCATTCAAAGTTTATATTTTTGAGTAATGTTGCTATGATGATGAGTGTAATAACCAGGTATATACTGTAACTTTTACACCTGTACATGTAAACATGCTTAAGTGCTTAACTTACATAGAGTGTGTGAACGGTGAATTCAACGCCGATTCCAACAGATATAATAAGTGTGACGGCAGGGATTGCACTCATTTTCACTCCGATAAAACCCATAACACCAAACAGTTCTACAGTTATCATTACGAGAACCAAAACCTTCAAGAAAAGAGACGAGAAAAAAAAAACACCAAAGTTAACAAAATTTCATATCAGTACAGTTAGTTAAGTTGTCTGGACATCATTTTACCTTAATCAACATTCATTCAATTATCTACATATACAAAATCAAACTTCCATCCATATACATAACCAAAGATCATATATATAATCCATGATTTAACCAAATAATAATTGTATTTAGGATATAGAAAATGTTGTTTTGCTAAAAAACTTTGCAATCTTAAAATTATGGAGTAAATATGAGATATGAGATACTGATAATAAAGAATAAAACACAATGATAATCTGAGTTATACCAATTATTTTTGGAAATATCTTACCAAAAGAAAAGCAGCCCACAGGTTGAAGAGAAGCATACTGATGACTACAAATATTGCCGCAAAGACGCAGACGAGCGACAACATTAGGTAGTAGCGAAGTTTGATGTACTGCTCCCAGAATGTGAACGGTATGCCACTGGGATAGTTCGGTAAGCCCATTGCTGTGAAATGGTCGGAAATGTTTCGCATATCCTTGATCAAACGAACAAAATCCTCCGTTGTGTAAATATTGTGAACATAGAATGGCATTTGAGTGAAGTTCAGCTGTTTGGCACGGGCAACTGTTTGAAAAAAAAAAACAAATTGATATTAAAAAAATTAATAATACAATGCTACTTTCATTATCCTATGTTGGGTTGCAGCTGTAGAAATCTAAGTGTGGTAGACATTTTAAGGGTAGGTAGGTGATAACATTGGTAAACTCTAAATATTAGGAGTGGATTTTAACAATTAGCAAGAGAGTTAATAAAGGTGGAGGCCTATGAAATAGCTCTAGACTTTTCCTCTTAATTGGAAATTAGATAGAATATGGCCTGCATATATTAGCGTTTCTACAATCTTGTCATTAATTGGCTTGTAGTCAATTGATAAATCATTTGTACAAACAATTATGTAAATCAGAAAAGTTTTTTTTAATTTGTGTCTCCTTACTTTTATGGACTTTTTATACTAAATATTTTAAAGTACAGGGATTTTTGCAGACTCTATCCATTAGGAATAATTCAAATTAAATTAAAAAAAAATATATAATATAAAATTCTAGACTTACCATTAGCCCTACACATTTTTTCCAGTGTATTTGGTGCAATGGATTGGACAGAAGGATGAAGAGCTCCCTGCGAAACCTCAAATGACATTGAGTCTATGTTTATCCACGCAGTCAGATAATTATAGAAGCCTTTCGGGTTAATTATCCCTTCGCTGTCCACCAACCTTCCAGTATAAAACTAGAAATCAAAAACAAAAATTATACAATCAATATCATGATAATATCTTTGTATTTTGCGCTATATAAATTGAAACCCATTAACATTTAGCATGTTTTATTCAAAATAGTGAGTATCTTTTAATGAGATAAATATATTTAATTAACAATCTCATATTTAATTCTCATTAAGAATTGTATGTTTACAAACTTTATTAGCTTAGACTATGACTATTATAGATAAATAGCAAAATTTTACAGTTTTTTTAGTTTATGAAATTTTAATTTTAAAATTGTTCATCTTTGCTATCAAGGAGATGATTATTATTCAGTTATTATTATATTATATTACTTTTAGAAAGTTTTCATCTAGACGAGGATGAATGTTGTCAAAATAGCACTGATGTTAAGGATATTGTTAGTGACAAATGGCTCAATTAATCAATCAATCAATCAATTATAAAGATGTTTATATTTACCAGATCTGTATTGATGGGTCTTGTGACTTCTCCTGTCTGAATAATCAGGTTGTAGCCAATCATACCTTTATCAGAAGCTGCATGAAGGCATTTATCAGGCAACAAGTTTCCATTTGCTTTTTCAATATCAAAAGCTGCTTGAATATCTTCAAGGGATTAATTAAAAAATACATATCATTAGTCTGTCATCATAGATAGATTTCTTTCCCACAACTTCTTAGATACACAACATAAATATCTAGAATTTTAGGAAAGATTTCTGAATTGTCTTTGTTCGGAACATTTTAGACATCTATGATTCAACATAATCTACTTCATTGTTAACGAAATGTGATAATGTGGGAGATTGTTAAAAGGAATGAGAGAAAATGAAGAAAGATGTAAAAGATTGTTGGAAAAAGAGTATAATAATGTTGAATAACCCTGACACTTAGCAGCTGAAAAAGTACTGCCTTCCATGTTGCATATATTTCCTCATGGACAGGATTAGGGGATTTACTTTTAAGCAGTGGCTGTTGTCATACTACACTTAAACCAATTCCTAACTCTGATTGGATGTTACATATGGATTATATTAAGACAATAACAGCCAATCAGAATTAACAATTTTTTTAAGCCTAGTGTAACAATAGCCACTGCCTTTCTGTTAACCTCACACAAAATTACCATAAAGTACTCACCTAGTAACCACTCTCTGAAATAATCCAACCAGAATTTTGGCAATGATCCATCTGCATTTTTAATAATTTCCGGAATATTCTGAAATTCTTTATGATACTCTGAGAGTAACTTTTGATTGTTTGGATAATCAAAATCCTCCATGGTTACTGCATACATATTATAGAAACTAAAATATTTCAATCGCGCTTGGAGAAAATCCTGCTCTCTTGTTCCACTTGGAACGACGTCTGTTAAATCTAGACCATCTTCTACTCGCAGAATTCCAAAAACACTTGCACTGAGAAATCCAGCAAAAGTTAATAATACAACGCCCTATAAAAGAAATTTTTAAAAATGTATTTAACAAATTTTAAATTAATATATCAAATTAATTATTGTGGTGGTTTGTGGTAAATTATATTTAGTAATTTAGAAAAAAATGTAAGATAAGGATGTAATTCAAGAGAATTTGTTTCAAATATAATACACATTATGTTTATTTCTTTGATGTGTACATTTCTTTTTTCTATTACCACATAAATATAATATATTTACTCATTTTATCAACAATTTTAAATATTTGCAATATGTCTCTGTTAGAATGTTTACTCACTTTTACAAATTTGTTCATTAGAAACGGTGCGTAGTAATTCTTGACGAATCCTGACAATGACCACTTCCAGCATTTAAATTTCTTGCGGTTATCTCTCCAACAAGTAACATGCTGATTTACAGAGTCCTGTCTCAATAAGGTTCTCGTAGAGGACGACCGCACGCCAGTTTGCATATTTGCGCAATCACGTACATCTGGCGTCGTCGTGCACGTCATGGTTGTAGAAGGTTCAACCACAGTGACACACTGGTCTGACATATCATCCCTTAAATGGGTTACAGTTTCTACAGTTGAGTGGAGCGTGATGTGTGTTTCCATCGGATTTTGATGACGCCGATTACTATTCAGATCTGGGCTATCTGATATTGGGGAGGGTTGTATCGTTACCACCCTATTTGCACTTGAACTGAAAGAAATACATATTGTTCTGATGTAAATTAACCTAATAAATATAATCATAATCACATGAGATAAATTGTAATGAGCAATTTGTGGCAGAGCCAAGCCAAAGGAGGGATAAGTCGCACAGGCAGTTTTCCAATAAATGCACAAACACAAACATGAAATCGGTCATTTTTTTCTATTTTCGTTTTCTCTAAAACATACATATTAAACATTTAACTTTCATCCTACATTTACCTTTCTCGGATTTTTAATCGATAAATGCTCTAAAAATGGTATTTAAGAGAGCTTGTCCTAGCGTACAGACATAAAATCTGATTTTCAAAGCTAGTTTTCTCAAAATACACTTACCAAATATCCTAAATTTAATTGCCCATAACTTCGCCATAAACTATCCTATCAAAGTGAGTTTATTTGCATTGTGTAGATAATAATGCCTAGTTTCATAATATGTAAAAAAATTTAATTTTGAAAATTTCAACTTATTCCTCCTTTGGCTTGGCTCTGCCACATTTAAACATACACTGCATCTAACAAATTTACCTAAAGCACTGAATTGTTTATTTAAAAGAAATAAATAAGTTATTAAATTCCAAAAAGGTACAGACTATAACAATTCAATTTTCTCTCATATTTTATTAAAACATCTTTCAATACCAACCAGCCAATTAAAAAAACTTATGCAAAGAATATAAAAACAAAAGTACATGTATTTAATCATCTGTTAATTGGTTAGGAATGTATTTATCTAAAATAGATGGAGTATAGAACATACCTTTTGAAACAGCAGAAAATATCTACCCGTTTTGAATCTCTTCTTTCTAAATCTAGTGCTAATATTGCAGGGAAGATGAGGATTACAGATAAAAAGTTGAAAATGACAATGATTGCAAACTGAAAAAAAAGGGGAAAAAATTGCCAGTCAGATATGCAGACTAACATTAAAGTTGAATGTTCTAATGTTTTGGAATGCAAAATGTGATTTCAATTCTATTCAAGGAATAAATTGCAGACATTCTGATAAAAGAACACTGTGTGGCCATGCAAGTTGCAATTTTATACTATCAGGAAAATTGGTATCTGGCGAGGTCATGACCCTAACCTCCTTGAGGGCCCTGAATCAGCTACACAACTAAGGGCACCATGATCATATTTGACATACTGTAATGAATTAAAATTTGAAGTTAGAAAAAAAAGCTGCTTGTTCTCTTTTGATACTCGTTGTAGTAAAAAAATGTTATCTGCGAGAACTTAAATTATTTTTGCTTTTGTGACAAAAGTTTAACAATAATGAAGAGACAGTCATCAAACAATTTGGATAACCTTTGAAAAAAAATAAATATGCAAGTAAAACTAAAGTCTTAAGAAAAATAGGATATCAAATTTGGAGAAGGATTTTAAATATTATGGTTCAACACATTATCATAAAAACATGTGAAGAGAGTATGCGTAGTTAATGAGTAGAGGTAAAGTTTTGCATGGCTTATTGTCCTTGTTTTCCAATACTAGAGACTATAAATTTATAAATTATTATTGAACATTAAGTTTTCAAACACTATGTGGTAGTACTAAATTTGAGATATAATAAGCCAGACTGTAACATTACAGTAGCTGGGAATTTGTTTAGTATTGTATCAATAGAATGGTAATTTGAAGAAAGACACAAGTCAAACGTACTTGAAAACAAAGAGATCTAAGAGCTGGAATTGGAATTATAGCTGCAAGGAGAAATGCGCTCATATTGGTGAGGGATGTCATAAAAACACAAACTCCGGTCCTTTTCAGAAGTTCCCCTGTCTTGATCTGATAAAGACAAAATCAAATATTTATTTTAATGAATTATTCCTTAAAGAAGTATATTTTCAACAAATGCAATTTAAAAATCTTACGAAAATTATAATAGAGTTGAATACTCTAGGTTCAAGAAAACCGATTGGATTTTTTTTATAAAGAAAAATGTCTGGAAAATAAAGCAATTCCAAAGTTTAAATCACAGAATGTTTTTCAAGTTTAGAAATCTTAATTAGAGTGTGATGAAAGGCACAGATCAAGGACGAAGTTAGGCCGTAAAAGGCCAAGTTCATTCAAAATTAGAGGTAAATTCAAGAAACCTGCACCTGTATACAGTAAATTTTAAGTTCATTGAAAAATTGAGTTCAATATATTATTCTTACATTTCCTTTCTACATAGTATACACCGAAACTGTGAGGTTAATTAAAGGCATCATTTTTTTTCCATGAGCAGATGCCACCTGGAGAGTTCACCTTACCCAAGTCAGTTCACTTGCAAATATTTACATCAACACCCTTTAGAACATAAACAATCTTTCAAAGAAACCTTAACAACTTGAAATTATTTATGACAGTGGCTATGATTGTATGTGAAATGAACAGACATACAAAAACATATGGACAATATTGCATGTACACAAATGGGCCTAAAACATACAAGAATCTGGTAAAAGGTGAGGACCTGTCTTAACTTTCAAGACTTCTCTCACCTGTTTTCCTTTCAAAGTTAAAAACAAGAAAAACTTTCCAAATTTTCCAAAGATTTTTATAAGCTTGAGATCAAAAAATGTTTGACCTTCTAATAGCAGAATTTAAATAAAGATGCTGGAAAAAGTAAAGGAAATAGGTTGACAACAGAATGTTGTATATATTTTTAAGTATGAAGTTGATCCTTTTTTTTTGTTATGATTTTTATAGCAGTAGACATTCTCTAGAGGTGAACAATTTGTTGAATGTTCTTCTTAAAGCAAGACTTTCTAGTGATGCATGCCAGATAATTTTTCAAAACTATTATGGTATTTTAAATTATTAGATTATCATTGCATTGAAATATTAATACCTTAAAAACCTAAAAGTACACAAGTACTGAAAGTGCATGCAGTAAAAAGACTTTCTAGTGATGCATGGTAGATGTACTATGTCAAACTATTATTGTACTTAAAATTATTAAATTATCAGAACACTGCACTGAAATATTAAGACTTTAAAAACCTAACTTAAAACATTTTAATTGCATTGTTTTTTAACATTTGTTTAATATGTAACTTTACCACTTCGGAAAACAGTACACAAGTACTGAAAGTGCATGCAGTTAAAAGACAGAATAAATAAATTAATAAACAATTTTGAACTTAAAGATATCATTTTGAGAAATATTCTTCTGAATATAGAGTTTGTATATGTTCTTTAAATTTTTAACTCCAGATTATTTTTGGCACAATACGACGGAAAAATGGTGAGATGAGACGATGTTGGTACAGCTGTTAATACGAATACGAAATAACAGCAACAAAACAGTCGACCCAGCATCCTGCAGTTCTGAGATCTAAGAGGCAGTCATGGGAAGTTGGATATAAATTTATATATATATACATATATATATATCCCTAAAATTATTATCTATAAATCAATTTAGCAAAACTATTATGTCTTGAACTATTGAACTTTTTTTCTAATGTATGCCACAAAAATGACTTCAGATATATAATCAAAATGAGATTCCATATTTTCATAACTGCTGCCAGCTTAATTTTCCATTTTCATAGAGTGCCTGTAGTTATTTCCAATTGACCAATCAGATATCTTCTACTTAACTTGGAGCTCATGATCCAATCATAAGCTTCCTTCTGAGCTCAGTTATGAAATTTGGCTGTATCCCATGTACAACAAGAGCATGCCAAATATTTATACCACCCACTAAGATTCTTCTGCCAGCTAAGAACATGATCTTGGGTGGTAGGTTAGGCCAGTGGTATAGACTCTGAACATTTTTAGCTAAGTAAAAGAAATCCTTGGGTTGCCCAGTAGATTTTTGTTTGTGTTGGTGATCAGTTTATGATTGGCCACTCTGGGCAACCTCAAAAATAGACCAGTCTTGTTTGGTTTGATTATACTAATTTTCACAAATTGTAAAATCGTAAAGTAAAATATTTTTTCAAATTAAACTATACTTTAACAGGATTTATGATAAAAATTCACCTAAAAATCAAATGGTAATAATAATTTTTTCACCATCGATCATATCGTATCATGAATTTTGAATTACTTTGCTTTCAGACAAATAAAATAATCAAAATCTAATGAGTTTTTTTTTCTAATTAATTTAACTTAATATTTTCAATATAGTATAAATAAAGAGTATAATGTATAAAGTTAAATTATATTGTTTTTATTTTGTCTATTAATAGTTATCAATTAAAATTCTTTAAATTGAAATATTGTCAATTTATTATCATCTCAATATTACCAAATGTACTTTATATTGGCCAACTCATAAACTGACAGAAAAAACACAATTAAAACTCTCAACTCCTACCTATATTTTACTTTTCACAAAATATCCATTTTTCTTTTTTGGAGTCTTTGTTATTAAGCACTTTGTGAGCATCCTTGGAGTAAGCATCAGTTGATAGGATTTTGGCACCATATGCCATCAACAATCAACAGGACTCACAATTCAATAAGGCTGTGGCTGCCAGTTGCCTCATTAGCATAGACCCCACCTTGAGGCTACTGCTGCATCTTAACACAGGCAGCCTACCAAAGTTGTACTGTAGCATACAGTAGGATGAGGCTTCTATCTACAATACTGTATGCCTAACTGTAATAATCTCAGTAGTAATGTATCTTAGTTTAATATGATTGGTGGTTTTGCTAGGCATATGGAGCCTCTGATCATTTAAAATTTAGTTCTAAATTAACATGTAATAATTTGTACAATATATCTCCTGAAAATAATTAAATATTTTTCCACTTTATAGAAGAAATTCATAGAACAATCACTCTTTTCACAATCTTGCGAATTATTGCGAAGAACGAGTGACCACTTTGTTTGTAAACTAGCACTATAGAAACTATAATAAACAACTTTCGGAGACCTGGGATCCCTGGTAAAAATAAATTGTTGCATGTACAATTTTAGGTTCCATCGATTACTGCTATAAATGTCAATTTTACTGCAATTGTAATCATCATGTTATACTTCAAGGCTAAGGTTTGCATAGTTGTTTTACATTTCTGTATTTGAAAACCAGGACCACACAGCAATTAGCAGGTTCAGCAAGGAAAGGAGAGAAGCAAGTTGTTATCTACGTTCTTAATTTCACACTCCATTGCCAAACTACCCTTTCTGGGATAACATGTGCACATTCATTCATGGCACTTAATGGGTTACACTTTTCTTGAAAATAAAACCAGTAACGTGAGATGAAAATGTTAACTAACTTTGCTTTTTAAAAACATGAATGATTTTCAGCTCCAACCTTCTATTTCTTCAATCACCACAAATGTTTATTGATTGGGCAATTTTAATCACTAAAATTCAGTTTTGCATTTCTTGCAGAAATTTGATAACAAGTAGTTATCAAGATGCCAATTAAAAGACTAGACAGGAAGGCTATAAAATGTCAAGACTTGATGACTCTTATTACATTAAAACCATAATGAAAAGCTGCTATCAAGAAATGAAACAAATGCTATAATTGAACAAATTAATTCCTGATATCAGTGGTTGAGTCTGTATACGTGGTAACATGTTTCTGTCTTTGAGAAATGCACTTATAGTCTACAATGTCTCACATCACACTGGAGTATACTAGATATTTTAAAAAATGCAAATGTGATGAATAATACTAATTAAACATTATGAAATATTCCTGCAGGAAGCTGCAGATATGTTCCAAATTTATTAGATCCATGGGTAAACTTGCAAAGCACATAAAACAAATATAGGTTTTATATATTTCTTTATCTATATATAGGCCTCCCTCTAATTAATGACCCTCCAATTAAAGACCACCTTCAATTAAAGATAACTTTTCTATGGGCCCAAATTAACAAATTTCTTTTATCTTTATTATTTTTTTTTATTACAGACTAAGCCTGCTAAAGACCATAGAAACCCTGGTCCCAAAAGTGGTCTTTATTTGGAGGGAGACCTGTGCATTAATTTATTAATAATGTTTTTTCCTTAATTGGAAGGCAAGCAAAATGTGATTTTGATATAAACTTACCAATGTGGGAATTTCTTTTGGTAATGATGCTGAAGAGTGAGCTAGCAGGAACATGTCGTCAACACCAAGACCCAGTGCTAAAAATGGAAGTACCTGCAAAAAAATAAAAACAATTATATTTAATTCTGATATTATTTTATTTAAAGTATTGAGAGATTTTTATACACTATGACATTTCGTTACAGGCAATACATTCCGTTTGTTAATCCTTATTACAATTCCAGTCCAGATGTACGTTCTTATATTATATTCACCCAGGTTACGGTTACGGATATAGAAAACAGGACCTGTCTATTCTGTCAGATGTAAAATTCAAAGTTGTAAATTTCATGGGTATGTAAGAAAAAACATTCATAAATGAAATTAATTAGTACTAATGATCGATCAAATGTCTTGCTGAAGTTTGACTCGATGAACATCAATCCTCCAAGCAGAAGTCAATCATGTGACATATGTCACATGGTGACATTTATGACGAGAGAATCTGACAAGCTGTCCAATTATCAGCCGGGTAAATAACGACTATGGGCAGCCTTATGCGCACCCTTTTTCTCCTATTACACTTCTTGCACTCCTCTGGGTGTAATTAAATCCATTCAAACAACACTGCCCACCATAGATGTAGTATATAACCACCTCTGATGTGTCCCCATTTTTACCTTAACATGCACTGTAGCCTGTACTTTATTTCATATACTTAGCACATAGCTATTATTTCAAATGTGCGATTTATTGCCGATTTATTGCGGGGAAACTCTGACATTGACGTCTTTTATCTGACACTAGTATTGTGGTAAAAAAATGACAAATGAACTTAGAATGAAACAAACGGTGAAAGAAAACTGAAAATGATAATAAAGACTTATGAAATGAGACAAGAATCCTAATTTTAAATAAAACATTATGATATTATATATATTTATATTATTATTGATGATTAAATACAAATTATAATCAAAATATATGTAGTTGATCAGAGATAAACTTGTTTTATCTACAATTCATTTTATAACCATGGATATTAAGTAGACCTAATTTCTTACATTACATCTTATTCGCATGGTTTTTTTTATATTATTATTCCACAGAGTAATTTAATATAGTTATTACAGTACTAGAGTTACATGAAATTCCTATACATGAATGCATGCATATGTTATATATATTATGTACTATATGGGTCTGTTATGCCAAAACCAGAGTCAGTGACGAAAACAAGAAAATTGACTCGCCCTACTATTGCCAAAGTTATGAGTAAAATTATTTATGGTTTCTCTGTATTATTATTGTATTAAGTATACAATACTGCCATATTCTTATGTTAATTTCTCAGTTTAACATTTAGTGACAGTACACTGGTTGTGGGATGGCAAGCCTCATATATATAGACCTTCATACATACAAGGTACATACATAAATATATAAGGACAGAAAAGATTTTTAAAAATTCTGCTTGTATTTTTAATCCGTATGTGATAAATTAGGTCGCTTTTATACCTCCATGCTCCTACCTACATTTTACAGCGGTAACCCCTCACACACATTTAGACTGCTTGTCATAATTTCTTTAATGTCAGGCGCATGAATCAAGAGGCTTAAAATAAGAACACAACATGACCTACATAATGACCTACATTCAGTTGATAACAATAATAGGAATGTCTTCAATGGTATGTTAATGTTAACAACCTGTTTAATTGTTGATTGAGACACCAGGCTTAGATAATTTGGCAAATTTTAACCAAGGATAAAGTGATTTTAATGAGTAGTCTATTTTAACCACCCCACAACAGAGCTCCCGCTACAAGGCGTAAAAATATTGCACTCCTTCCTGAAAAGTATGCTGTACGACAATTATCGATCTCTAGGGGAGGATCACACGTTTTTTCAGAAGTATGTCTCTGTTATGACCTGATATTCTTGTAAGTTTGTATTAAACTACTGGAATAAATCAAGAACGTAATAAACTTGCAATAAATATTCTATAGCGTGCTACCTAGAAGTTCTAAAATTATATTTTTTTAACTGGTCCAGTTGTCTTACGTCATAAGAATCCTATAATTTGGGGAATTTTAACAAAGAATAGAGTGATTTTAATGAGTAGTCTATTTTAACCACCCCACAACAGATCTCCTGCTACAAGGCGTAAAAAAATTGCACTTATTCCTGAAAAGTATGCTATACGACAGTTATCGATCTCTAGGGGAGGATCACACGTTTTTGCAGAAGTGTGTCTCTGTTATGACCCGATATTCTCGTAAGTTTGTATTAAACTACTGGAATAAATCAATAATTTAATAGACTGCGCAATAACTATTCTATAGTGTGGTACAAAGAATTTATAATTTTTTTTTTTTTTTTGGAATAGTTGTGTTTGTTTTAATGAATAAGGTTTTAACACAAATAGATGGATGGATTGTACGTAATTTACCAATTAGTATCTAGCTAGATACCTCAGTAATATTAATGAAGGGCAGTTTCATAAACTTGAGATCAATTACAGTAGGATCATTACCCATTGTAATAGTTTATACTTGAGAGGTATGAAGTGGTTTTGATCAAGAGAAAAATCCTGTACAAAGACTGAACCACGAACCTTGAATTAACCTTAACCTCTAAACCACACAGTACCCCACAAATTGTCTTTTTCTATATAAACAGAATGTATTAAAAAATAAATTGGTTCTTAAAGACTTGTGTATGACTTGCAACAAGTAAGAAAACATTTTCTAACCTGAGTTGTAGATGCATTGAACTTAATGCCGATAAAAGCACAAAATCCAAGACTTGCAACCACAGTACCACTAATCAGTAACACTCCAAACAGGCCAACTGCACCTTGGGACTTTACACCATCACACAGTTTGACCATAGTTAGAAATGCATAAAGAACCTGTGAAAAAGAAGCCAAAAAACCATAGTGAAAATTCCATCTGATTTTTTCCCACATGGCAGGTTGCGGAATCAACTGAATGTGTAAGATTGAGCAATACTATAAACACCAAATAAAATAACTGCTTTATGCTACTATTTAGACTAAACACCTACACACCTACTTTTATTACATATTTATTATTATAAATACTCCTGGAATTCAGAAAAGGCAAGTAAGATTGTAATTCCATTCCATAGTAAATACACAAATACAAAAAAAATGGGAAAAAATGTTATTTACCATCAACATGTAGCCACCAACGACGTTAGGTAGGCTAGTCTCAGAGAACTCTGTCAGCACCTCGTTCATGGAAGCTTCTGAGAAAGCATTTACATCTTGTGTAGGATGCTCGGCTGCACTCTTGCGAACAGCCTAACAGAAAAGAACAAAGGGGAATTTATTGTAAGTGAAATATTCACATGGGAACTAAAAACTCTGCCCTACATATTGGTAGATATGATAGGTGCCTTAGAAAAATTGCTACGTACTGTTTTTATTAACGGTGTCATTAGGAGGTTACCTGCATCATTATTATATTCTTACGTGTATTTCATCATCACAAACCAACATCATCATCACCACCTGTGCCCATTATCTTCACCACAAGTGTTCACCACAACCAACATCATCTCCGCCACAACCATTCATCATCACCACCACCACCTGTGCCCATTTTCTTCACCACCAGAAATCACAATCAACATTGCTTATACTTATCTTCATTAGACACTTTTTATCCTTATTTACTCAGTTGCCTCTTACCTTGGTAAACTCCTTTTGCCAGGCATCCAATACGGCTTCTGCTTTCTCCTCCGTCCATTTGATGTGGCTAACTCGTGGATGGTTTATCAAGTTGTCATACATGTTTTTCTTACTATTCAATAGAAAGATGGTTTCAAGGGCCTCGGCACTGCAAGAAAATATTGATAAAATTAACTTTCACAACATTAGAAAAAGTTTACAACAACAACTGCTGATTAACACAATGAAAGACTACAAACACAAACACAAGCTACAAATTCATTAATCTTAATTAAAAATAATAAAATTCAATTTTATACACACACAGGTGACTAATGAATATTAATTAGGATAGCAATAAACTAATGAATATTCAATGGCATAATCAGAAGCTCAATAAATATCCAGTATGAATACCTTTGAATATGACCACTGGCATTTTTCTTGATTCCACCCATTATTAATTCCTCTGGCCATTTCATGTATGATTTTGCATAGCCACTGCATCCACCAGTCATCAATGTTGTAAAATCAGGGATCTTTGAAATGTACAAAAATTAAATTATAATACAAAAAAAAACAAAAAAAAAAAACATATTTCATTTTAACAAAGGTTACATTATGGCAGAATTTTGAAATAAGAATCAATGTGTAACAAAAAAGATTATTTTTTTTACAACATAATATTAAGCCATGGGTACAGGAAATCATCAGACATTTAAATTGAAGAAATTACATAAATGAATTCATAGTTTATATGATAAAAATACATTAACAATATCCCGGTCATGCTTTTCACATTTTAAGTATATAAAATTCTTCACCAACACTGCTCAATGGGGGGAAAAAAACAAAGCTGTACAATTTCATAAATATAGACCACCCTCATCAAATATGGTGTAACATAAAACATCTCTAAATCTTTCATATGTGAAAATTCATGTGATTTACACATATTCATGTGATTTTCCATAGTCCATTATATACGCAATTCAGCACAATGATGCTGCAAATTTGTGGTTATTCTCCTACCTTTACCTTTACACATATGGGCATGAGGATGTCCTACCACACCCATTTGACAAGCCACTGTTTCTTACCTCCTTAGAGATCTTGTTTGGTGCTTTCGAGGGGCAGTCTGGGTCGTAAGGGTTGAGACACGGTCTATCCTGATACCCATGCCCTATCCCAGACTGGGAGTATTAAAATAAAGTGTGACATTAGCACTGTATTAAAAACATGGTGAAGATTTTCTTAATTCAAACAGAACTTATGATACTGTATTTTTCATACCTTCATGTTAATTATAATCTGTGAATTACATTTGTGCTTTGATACAAAGACCTACGGTATAGCAGAACATAAATCAACTAAAGCTTTATAATTTTTAAATAAGCTCACTATAATTTGAATTGGGAAAGTTACACCAATTAAAAAAATAAGATACATATTCTATACACACGAGCATAATAATAACTTACTATTCATTTTCAAACATGTCTTATTTTAGAAACAATTGCTAAAATGAAAACAAGCGATTTCTTTGTACTTACAGCATCTATCATGTTTTTAATGTTTTCTGGAAAGTAACCGGATACAGAAGACTGATTAACGAGTTTATAAGGATCTGTGTTGGACCACACCAAAGGTTCTGGTGTCATACCCCTACGAATCAGAACATTTTTAAAAATTGTTAAAAGCAAAATTTATTTGAAATGAATCAAATCAAAATTTACCAACCATTTAAGAAAATTCATTTAATTATTTATACAGAATTCACTTAATTATATAGAAAACAATTGGCTATTGTTATTTCTTTTGAATATAGCTTAACTAAAAATTCCTCTTTACATTTGGTCGATCCTGTCACGCTTTTAATAACCAACCAACAAGTCTGTTATTTTTTGTTGTGTTTCTATAGAAATTAAGTCACCTGAAAAAGTTCACTATTACAGTAAACCTAGTACATGACTAAAGGGCTTTTTATATAATGATTACTATGTCCAAGGCTCCCGACTGAATTCCAAGCAACTGGTAACTTAAATTACTTCTTCTAGTAGCGCCACTGATGCGGATAATTAGGTGGTGCACCATTGAAATGACTCCGCTTCATAACAAACAACGCCCCTACTACAGGAACAGGTTCAAAATTAATGTTTTTATTTTCCAGAGGGAGGGTGGATGAAGTTGACCGAAGTATTTCCAAGACATTACGAATGTGTCATGGATAGTTCCAACATAATTACTCTCAAAGTGGCATTTGAACTGATTTTTTTTTATATTCACAGACTCAAGAACAACTACTTTAAAAAGCATAAAAGCACTTAACAATTATTTCTCACATAATACAACATAAAGCAATTATTAAGTTGTCACTTATATACTGTTTTGAGAAACATCATGCTTTGAAGTGCAGTGAATGTGTGTGGTATTTCTTCTCTGGTAGAAGGTTCACAGTAATTTTTGATTCCTCTCTTCTGTAACGCCTTGGGCACTACTGCAGTGGATATGTGCATTTTATAAATTTTATTTTTATTTAATATTATTATTATTATTAATTTGTTTTTAAAACTTACTGAATAAAAACTGGTTCATCAGGCCCTAGTATTTTTGAACCCTCCCAGAAACAATCCAAGGGAGTGATGATTGTACAAGGCATTAGTTGTTCAAAAATCTGCAAACAAAGATAATTAATCATTACTGGTATTAATTCATATTAAATAGACATGCTTCAAGGAACTATTCGAATTATTAAGTTTTGTGTGAAATAATTTAATACCCAAATATGGACAAATCAGATATGTTTCATTGAAAAACTGGTTAGAGTGGACTAAACATTTGAACATCTATGGTAAGTTGAAACATTATACAACATATGGAACACTGATCTAAATGGGAGTGTTACACATTCAAACCTAATGTTTCAAGGTTGTATTTTTTTATATGGACAAATCAGATATGTTTCATTGAAAAACTGGTTAGAGTGGACTAAGCATTTGAACATCTATGGTAAGTTGAAACATTATACAACATATGGAACACTGATCTAAATGGGAGTGTTACACATTCAAACCTAATGTTTCAAGGTTGTATTTTTTTATATCATTTATATGGCGCTTTTTCCAAAGCATTTAGCATCACATCAAAATAACAATATAACAATAGAAAACATCAAAATGTGTAAAACATTAATAATTATACAACAAATAAATTGGGAAACAAGTCTGAAATTGGGAAACAAGTCTGTCATGGACCCTTGTGACCTAGGCAAAATCACATCTTACTCATTTTTTAAGAAGAAAACTCTTGTCTTGACTCTTAAACATGTTTAATGAAGATGATTTAAGGATTGAAAGGGGCAGTTCATTCGGATATTGGGGTCCGAAGGACAGAAAACGAACTGTCACCAGCCCTGGTTCTCATAAATGGGACCTTCAGCCTAAGGGTGTCCATAGTAGACCTGAGACCACTTATGTCTGGCTTATATTATATTTAATAATCAGATCTTGCAAGTAAGCAGGGGCGCATTTGTTTACGCAGTTATACACCTGGATCAAATCCAGGTTTAGTTCGTTCATTCATTCATAAAATAAAAATAGTAATATTAAAAAGCATATTCCTAGTGTAATGAAGAACAATTTTGATATGAAACTTCACAACTTACAATATCTACAATTGTTTCAAAAGCTGGAAATTTTTCAACAAAACAGACATCCTTCAACGTCCATGGTCTGAAGTAAAAGAAAAAAAAATTATTTAGTGCATAATTTTAGTTTTTATTTTTATTGTAGATGATTATTGGCACAATAAACATATACAATAACTATTGTTATTACTGTCAAATTTAACTTTAATTTATTATATTATTTTATTATTATTTAAATTCTCTATTACTATTATTCTTTTATATTTCATTTTGTTATTACATACATTAAAAGATGTTCATATATCATCATCAGGTAATAAAGCTTATGCTACTAACGTTAAAACATGTCATTCATAAGTTTTATTTACTTCATTAGATGCATTAGTGCATTTGTATGTTCATATATATATATAATATATTTTATATCAAGTGATTTATTTCATTAAAGCCATATAAAAAATATTGTGTTTACATGTCAAACATATCCACAGTAACTTGCGTTGCTAATAAAGATGCATTTAGATGTAACTGAATATTTTCTTGCGTTAAAATATTTGTTTCTTTGTATTTTGGAGATTGAATTATAACTTGACTTGCACTTCTTTCCCCTCCCTGCAAGGTATCTGAGGTGTACTTCAGTTCCCTTTCCAGTCGTCCACCCTCTGAAAAATATATAAAAGGTTTCCTTGTTATGATAATCAATATCAACACAACTTATGGTACAATTTATAATCTTTCACCTTTGAAAAAACATGTATATGGCATATATGGCATTCTTTGTTATAATAAATAGTTCATATAAACAAAACCTGTAGTACTTATGCTGGTTCTTCCATTGCACTGTACGCAACGTGAAAACAAGAGCGACTGTTCACCAGTCCGCGCATTCCTCCACGCTTAATACGGTACAGATGCAAATTATTATATTGGGTTTTTTGGAAGAGCTAAGATAAAAACAATAATATTTAGAATGTTCAATTGTACAAAATTAAAATTTCTTAAAATTGAAAAAAATACAATCTCTTAAAATTGAAAAAAAAAAAAAAAAAAAAAAAATGTGAATACCAAGATGCGGTTGGAACTTGCAACTTTTGGTTGTTTAGAACACAACCTTAACCAATCGCGCCATCCATGTGACATGCCTTATGAGTGATAATGACAGTAATGTAATGTCCTTGCTGAAACCCCTGTTTTGTTTTGAAGGTGTAGGGGAAACCCTGGTGTTAACTTAAAAAAAGGGTGATAAACGTTTTTGGAAATCACCTCTAGTTTTTTGCATACAAAATTTTGGTAACAAGAACAGCAGTGAGCTTCTGGGGTCAGCACATTGCGCGGACCCAAAAAATATGACATAGAAATACATTATGCTGGGCACTTTCTAAGGTTGAACCTGAAGTTGTAAAAACTTTTCATCTTAAAATTCCAAGCCAAGACATGATACATTAGAATCATCACACTCCATTTCCACCTTAACCTAAAAACCGCAATATTAGGTAGGTGATATGAACTTGCGATAAACTTGAAGTATTAGTCTTCTCCTTAGTTTGATAAGGAGGTGGTATGGCAGTATTTGATATCCAAAGTCTAGTCATTATGCTTTGAGGAAATTTGTACTACTTCCTTCTATGTCTTCAGAACCATGGTAAATGTATAGTAAACAAGCAAAAATGAAGGTTAATAAAAAACCATCAGATTTCTATAATTAGGATCAACTGGATACTGTAATGAATAATCACATGCCAAATATGGCATGATGAATCTGCACCGCCAGTTTAGTTAGAGATGACATCAGGAGTCAAGTAGACTAAGCAGTCATTCACCAAGAATCAATTTGGTATCCGTTAAGCATAAACAGACACATTTATACTTTAACATTTGGAAGGGAAAGGTTTACGGATTCACATAACGATGTATAAAATGTAGACGTACAGTAATATGTTTTCAGGGCTTCTAAAAGTTCAACTGGTTGCATTTAAAGATATGAATTTAACTTGTTCTAAACAGATTGTTGGTATGGTTGTTGGAAAAATTCATCATCAAAAATTATGATCATCTTACTACACCTAATGTTTATTATCTCTAACATTTTATCTGAATTTGAGCTTTCGTTCCTAATCTAAATGCACTAATGTTTGATAAAAACACACTGAAAAGTAAAGCATTTCTTTTGAAAAACATAGTCAATAATATGATAATGATGTAATCATTCATCAAAAATTAAAAGTATAATAAATTTAAATTACTCTTGATATCACAGAATACTAATGGCTACAATTATTCAGTAGGCAGTTAGAGTAGATTGCCAAAAAATGCAAGCATACAGAGATTATCTAACAATAAACAAAACGACCACAGCGACTATACTGTCACAACCACTTCACAGCTGTATAAGTCAACATGGCGGATGTTCTTATAGTCTTATTTTATCATAAAACATTTCACTTAATCTGACATAAGCACTTGGTAATCTTTGGAGACCTCCTTCCCGGTTAGGCCACCCCTGAACAACCCCCTTTTCGGGGCTTCCTTGTGTAATCTGAAGGGAATTTTCCCTGGCTCATGGTATCACTGATCTACAACCTAGTTTTTTTATGGCTGTTGATTTATGTTCATAACCTTGAGGAATATAAAAAAAACGAGGGCGGGCGTTGCAATATGTTGCTAATTTTATTTTTACTTTATTTTAAGAGAAATGGTTCCTATTGGTTTAGAAACATGAATGGTGAATTTTGTGAAAAAATAACTTGGTGGGTTAAATTAATCAAAGGTTTTGCTGGTTAACTTTGTATTTTGTCGATTTATAATTTAAAAAAAAATCTAACTGTGAATAGTAGATTAGAGTTCATAGTTTATTATATTGTAAAAAATAAATAAATAAATAAATTTTGAAGATTTGCATCCACAACCCCTCCCTCCTCCGCACATTCTCTTCAACCTCAATCATTGAATACATTACTGGTAGGTAGCATCATTACACAGACATTGGGATACAGTATAATATAGGAATTAATTGTATCCCCTATGTTTATATACTGATGGCGGTTTTTCATCATGAGAAATAATAATACAAATGATGGTTGCTCTACATGGCGTGCTATCATATTGAATGTTCAGCACGTTCCCGAATACTTACGAAAACTCAATTGTTCCATGTTCGTATACGACCATGTTTGTTCCATGTTCGTCCACGCTGTATAAATAATGAGACAACGTACATTGGCACGTTCCTGTTTATTTTAAATAACAACTGTCATTTGAATCCTAGAGATAAATCTCATAAATTAACATAGTTTTTTTATTTAAAACATTTGGACCCTTGTTGGAGATAACCTTTGGTATTATGGGCTTACTAACAATGGGTTTTCTTCATATCTTTTACACCTTCTATCTGCTATGTGTGGTCTTCTATTTTAAAAACCTTAGTTACACTCTCATGATTATTCTTGGCTTTTCTGATAATAAAAGAATTCTTGAGGATTAGGATGTTCTATTGTTAGAGATACAGTAAATGGCATAAGGCTACTGAACATATAGAAAGATATAGCACGATGCATTGTATATTACTCTAGTAGCTAGTAGAATTTTAGAGCTGGATAGGCCAAAGTCTTAACACTGAAGTAAATCTGTGTCATAAATTAGAAATACAAAAAATTTTCCTTAAATTATCAGCACCATGCATTATGGGAAACTTGAATATTCTCCCCTGTTGAGCGGTACAAGTCAAGAACTTCCGTGACATATACCATGCCATAATTTACATGTTGTTTTCTCTAGCAATGAAGGAATTACCATCCTGCAGTTCAGGGCTCCATTCTGTGAGTTGTTCTGCACAGCAGTTGAACATGGCACTAAAATGCACTCATCAATTTATAAAAATAGAAATAACAGATTCTGTATAGTATATAGGCACAAGTTGTGCAAATTCAGAATTCAAAGGGAGAAAATTCTGAATCAAAGCATTTTTTTGTTTCTATAATAAATAATTTGAAGCCGAAAATAGCATTAGGATAAATATCAGTAAATTAACCACTCTATCAATGGGATAAATTCAAAGAATTTCTCACATCATTCAATCTATTAATTATTAACAATGGTGGTTGTTTATTTCGCCAACTTGGTGGTATGGAATTTCTTACATCAATCTTGCGAGACGTTTAAATGAGAAAAAAAATTTTTCTGCTAATTAAGAGAAGCATACAAAATTGCTAGACTCTTGAAGAATTCTATAGAAAAAACTGTAAATTAGTAAAACGCAATTGTTTTCGAGCTGTGTGTTATCAGGTGAAGTCTACAGACTTCTGTAATATCCCAGACAGGAAAATTTAGCATCCAGTGGACCTCCGGGCCTCACAAATTGATTGAAATAGAATTCTGTCATCGGGAAGCCCACACGCTCACTGTAGCTCCATAGGTTGCTTTGAAGTAAAGTACATTTTCCGAAACTTCTTACACCTAATATTGCCTTACTACTCTAACAGTGGGGAATAATTGCTGGAAAAAACATTATCCTTACCCTAATGTTGTTTACTTGGAAATGGGTTATGTGATTAAATTTTTATTAGTAACATTGATGTGGGGGTGGAAGAAGGTAGTAAAATTGTACAAAAAGCATTGTTAAACTACTATGAAAAAACACATAACTGACAATACCTGAAACTTAATAATAATTGTGTCTTTTATAATCAATAACCTTTTCATTATAACTACTGTAAGTAATATTTCCATGGTTTTCTTCCCAATGTTTCCTCGCTGCAATTTTTGTTATGCAACAAAAAGAAGTTTTAACAGATCCCATCACACATATTTATTAAGGTAAAATTAATTTCATTCTACAATTTTATTTATTTTTTTGTTGTAAAGAAATGGCTTACTATACAGTTAGAGTAGTATTTTTATGGAGTCTGGAAAAATGAAGAAAACCAAATGTCCATTAACAAAACACTGGGATAGTTGGAATGGTTTTTAACCTGTCTTTTAACTTTACTTTATTAACCCAACCTCTGGTTTATTTTCACCACAGTTACTCTGTGCTTTCACTTTGCATTCATGTTGAATGAATTGGTGCTTTATGTATAATAGCTATGGTTGACCAGTGGTCTCTAGTAGTGGTATGAGCAATGCTGGGTCATGGCAAGGTGATGATAGATGATACTATACTACTGCAGCCAACCTGATGTTTTCACTAAACAACAGGCCTTACTTATTAACAGACCACAAATAGCTACACTTGCCATTGCTTTGAACAGGCTATATAGTACCAAAGCAGACAAGCCGACAAAGGGATTATACTAAAGTCCCAATTTATCTTCAGACCAATACAAAATTAATTCGCAAGATTAATTATCAAAATCAATCAGAATTAGTGGGATAATGTTATTTAGTTACACTCTACAGTTGGTTTTGTATGTGGAGTGGAGATGTAACTGTGGCGATACTGTATTTGGATAGTGAAAACTCGCAATCTATTTTACACCGACAATAGTATTTTATCGGAGTGAACATCACTGCCAATTAAAGTTCCATTCCATAGGCTGGATGGAACTAGCCATTCCTTTCTGACCACTAAATGCCCCTGAAGGCCCTTAAGATTAGGCTATCATTCCTCCATACAAGGTAAGGCTTAGGATTCCATGTGGCTTGGATTACTAACTATAGTAACACC